TGTCCCGCGACAGCTTGCCCGCTCTCATGCCAGACCCTGGTGGCCTCGACCAGATGTACACCTGCGACACCCCCACCGCCACCGCCCCCCCCCCCCAAAAGACATGGAACGTTTGGTACATGGTGTCATAAGCAGGCGTGAAAATGCATGGGTCAAGAGAGCGACGTTCGACCGCCCTCGTACACCTAACGTGTTTAGCACCAAGCCTTCTGGCATCTTCGACACCGTGATCGACGGCAGAGAGCACCCCGACGTTACGCTTGGCAAGACGTGGTGGCGAACCATTGAGATGATTCCCGTTGTACCTTGCTTCCGTTGTGCTTCCCCACGAGGTCCTGGCACAGAGACGCCTGCTTATACCGTTCCACGTACACGAGGTTGTGCAGCAACTTCGCTTTTCTGTCGAGATCAACGAAAACGACGATCACGCGAGAGAGCACGGTAAGACGGCAGGGCAAGAGCCAAGCAAATCAAAGGGTAGTATCGAGACAGGTTGGAGGAAGAAAATCAGCCACGAGTACTTCTTCCAACACCAAGAGGAAACAGGTGCTGGCCTGTGAATGCGGGAACGCGATCAAGCGGAAGGAAGGAACACCTCACTCACCGGCTGGCTTCGGTGATGGCCACGGCAGGGGTGTCTGCCTTGCCAATCGCGAATCCCCCGACACCGTGGAGGTTGCCCACGGTCACCAGGGCCCTGTACTGGATCTCCATGCCGCCTTTGACGGTCTGAGGAACGATGGTCAGGGTCGGTAAATAGGTTAGGTTACGAGATGATGGGAGAGATATACCAACCGTATCCATAATCCACGCTCTTCGTTCCATCACCAAACTACACCAGTTGCATCACACAGGAACGAACCCGCCTCAACAAGGGCAACGGACAACCGGCTGTTCGGTGTGACACGCTCGGAGTGCAACCGGAAAAGAATGGCGTTGCCGTGCGGTCAGGAAAACAATCGCGCTGGCTGGGATATTCGAACGCTGCGCGTCCATTGTCGGCCTTTGGTCGACCAACCAAGGCACCATTCAAAAAATAAGAAGCACGAGTTACCGAGCGAAATGAAACAAAGTGGACAGGACATCAAACCGGGCTGTAGTGGAGCAGATATCGCACGAGCTTCTTCGTGGACACTGTACCTTGGTCACTCGGTCAGTGTGGACCAAAATCTCGGCCCACTGTCCCTGCGCCATTTCCACTGTCTTCTTCTTCTTGGGAGGGGCAGGACCGTCAGTCTGCAACAAAAAAGGAATGGGCGGGCGATGCACTCGTCAACAAATAGGACCTCTGTGGCATGCTGAATATTGCCATCCGTGTCGGCGCCAGAGAGAAACAAGCCCTCGATGTGTTCTGCCAGCACACGATGATGTGAGTGAATGCGTCAGAAGTATGTATGTAGATGTAGATACGTCACCAGGAGCCCTTCTTATCCCCGAGGTCTAGTAAGCACATGGGTTAGAGAACAGCACAGCGTTGCGTTGCGAAAGCCGATCGTGACAACACCCAAGCAATCCATCGAACCGCCTCAACGGTGCCACATTCAACACCATTCGCAGAGAGTGCTACTACACCACCCGTCACCGCACGGCGGTAGCACCGTAGCCAAACCAGTGGACAAAGAGCCAACAATAGCAACACGCAGCCTACACCAAGGTCGTGGACGAGCGCAAAACAATTCAGGTGATTCTTCTTGCGAAGGATGTTGGAAGCCAAATACGCAGTCGCCATCAAACAGGCCAGGCAAGGCTCGTCACACAGCCAATCCTGGCTCCTTGTTTGCTTACTTGTTCAGAGGTCTCAGGCTCGCCATAAATTGCGCGAACTTTGTCCAGTAGATCCGTCTCGCTGCCACGATTCGGAGGCAGCACGAGATACAGCGATCGCACACGTTGGGGGGGCGAATTCAGCGAAAACTACAAACGTCAGCGCGGACCATATATACAATGTATGGCACATACCCAAAGGTGACAGCACGACAACACCACGACCAGGTATTTGTCCCAATTGTCCTGTTCCAGTGGGGAGCTTGAAACAACCATAAAAAACGGTTGCAGCAATGATTACATATGCTAGGAACCAAAAATAATTGACTGTGCGTCTCCCTCAGGGCTGGTGATAACTGGTAGCATGCTGGCTGTTTTCAGCGACCTAACTGGGGGAAACACGAACTGCTGCCGTGCGTACCGTGAAGCTACCAAACAGGACAGGCTGTCTCCTCAATCGTGGCAGCACCACATACACCGCGTTTTGCATCCGCTGCTATTTCATACTGCCCTTCGTGTTGAGTACGCGGGCTCGGCCAAGGTTTTCAAGTGGCCGGGGTCCGCGAGAACACTCACCCTGTCTCCTCCAGGTATTCCTCGAGTCTGTTCTCTCGCAGAGCCGTCAATCGACGAGTCGACTCCTCGAACTCTTTCGACGTTTCTTTGTCTAAGGCATCGAACTCCGTCCCCTTCACCGCTTCTTCGTAGCTTGTGCCGGACATGATCAAGTCCGCCTAGGCAGGTATTGAAATGAGGCAGGGATGCCGTGTTAGTTCCAGTACTGCCACTCCCCGGAAAGATTACGGCCGGCGAAGTAGTATTGAGTGTAGTGTAGGCACATTCCGCACCACCGCGCTGCATAGTCTACACAGCTAGGGTGCGGTGCGTGGTACTGTGATGACTCTGGTGACAGCACCTGGGCGTAGAACGCATGCAAGGGAAGCCACACTTGAACATCGCAAAATGCCAATGCCAGCACGATTGTCTCTGTCCGCGGCGTGCGAAAGGGTGGGTGACATGAGACACTTGAACTCAACCCTATTAACTCACCAAATCGACAACGTCGGGTTTGTCCTTGTCCGTCATGGACACACTCCTCACGGAGGCGGGTTTCGATTCGTCAGCCGAGCCCGTGTCTCCTTCCTTACCCCCGTTGTCGACGTTGTGTGACTCTCCTCGCTTGTCCCCACGGTCGAGGAGCATCGTGCTGCTGTGCAAGGCCGCTGCTGCCTGGCGGTGGTGCTGCGTAGGTCTTGCGTGCAGGAGTGCCAACGAGCTGTGGGAGCGAGGGCATTGTCGCGGGGAAGGGCAAGGCGGGTAGAGGAGTCGTTGGTAACGACGTTCCTGCATGCATGGTTATGCTCATGTTGCACTGCAGGTGGGGTCTATCACAAAAACAAACATGACGGGGCGTGTAAGGAGAAGGGATGTCACCCACACTCTGTTTCGACGCGGAAGATTCCTCACACACACGCCCTAAACGCACGTGGGACAATACTGTACGTGAAAGTTCACAAGCCCTCGAAAGAGAAAAATGGCTCTACGATGGCATCGTCGATCTGTGTATCATCTCTTCGACATCCGTGAGCACGTGAGCACCTTGTGTGGCAAGACGAACGGTCAGACTGGACCGCATCCTCGCTGTGTGGGGGGTGATAGCTTACGTCACTATCCGATCGTAGTCTTACACATGATCTTATCCCAAAACAGCAGGGCGCAGAATCACGTATTCTCCAGATAGGTAACTAGTTTCACTTGACATGCATCGCCTGGACGCATGGTTTCCCCTGGCCCAGCAACGTGGGCTGCTTGAGCACGAACTCTGCAGCGTCACCGCACAACGACTCAAGAGCAAAAAGCAGTGCTGTAGTCGACATCGACACGAACTTGACTGAACTATTGAACTCACCAACAAGCGTCAGGCAGCCCCCCGCGGAGCTGACATGGTCTCTTTAGAACTATGCGCAGTGCACGCGAAGAAGCGGCTAGCGCCATATCGCCGGCAAATGTTGTGGCAGCAATGGCAGTGCACTCCACTCCCGCGTTTGCTCCACCATGCAGGAGGGGGGTTGTGACAGAAATTGCGCCGCATAAATCGGCGGAGTCCCTCTGTCGCCTCTTGTCTCTCCGCTCCCATAGCCCATTCTCCACAGCGGTCAACGTCCTGCCTACGCTGACTGTGACTAGTGAAGCTGGCGAGACCATGCCACGGGACGATATGAGTAGGGGAGGAAGCGGCCGTGCAGGGGTCAACAAGAACTTTCTTCTCAACACCGTCCACGGACTAAAATCGCACAACAAGCGCGAGGAGGAGGAGGACTGCTGGAGACAGCACGGCCTCGAGCAGAGGGCGCGAGAGCGCCTGCTGGCTCACGACGCCAACCGAAATCGACGAAATGTCCCGGCCGACGGAGGTGATACATCGGCGAGCCACGCCTCCGACGTTGATGCTCGCCGATTCTGGGCAGAGCGGAAGGAAAGGACCATGACTGCCACAACGCCGGCCATCGACCCGAGCGCAGCAGCCGCCGCTACAGGAGGTTCATCGCCCTCGGTGGATAGGAAGAGGCAACGAGAGGATAGTGAGGAAGGCACTGGGAGGGCGAATGGGAATCGTGGAGACAGGAGAAAGAAAGACGATAAGAAGAAGGGGAACAAGAAGAAAAAGAAGAAGAGGAAACGGGAGAGCCGAGATAGGGCCGGAAGCGACGATGAGCGAGGAGCTGTAGGCGTAGGGAACGCCGGGGGGGATGAGGAAGCTCGCAGAAGACACAAGCGATCGAAGAAGCGTGCACAGAAGAGGCGCAACAAATGACAGGTCGAGGCCCAACGCCGATTTGAGCAGGCCGCCTTGCCAGGAGAAGGTGTGCGCGATTGCTACCCCCCACATCAGTGCTATTCCGGGGTAGGTGACTTTGTGTCAACCCGCAGCAGTGTCGCCATCGTGAGGTGCGGCGGGATAAGGGGCGCTGGAGGGATGCTTGAGCTGGTGATGGCAGCTGGCGTCATGGCCTGCGCTACACGTAAAGGTGCGTACGTTCCGCTGTCACGGTAGGGCCAACAAGATGGGATTAGGCTACGAATTGTTCGTGTCATGAACGGCTCTCAGCGTCCCCCGACCATTATCATGCATGTTGCTGGAGAGGAAGAACGCAGAGCTTTCTAGCAAACTCTCACTCGACCCCGCAATGTCGCACTCGACCCCGCAATGTCGCACTAATGCATACATGGCTTGTTCGTTCTTGCAGTGTGTGGGAGCGTCGGACGCCGATGAAGCTGAAATCGTTCGAAGATAAGCCGTGCTGTTCAAGCAAACGTGTGCATGCGGCGCATGCGCGAAAGGGTCTTCGCGCGCACGCAGTTGCTGATTCGTCTCATAAGGGAGATGATGGGGGTCAGTCTGCCTGTCTTCTATATCGCTGGGCAAGTTTGACTGCCCATCCTGGTGGTGCACGAAGCAGCGGTTAAAGCGTGAAGTTAGCACGGCATGTATGCGTAGTGGTACTCGATAGAAGCTTAGCTGGAGTTTGCGGCGATGTTTTCTTCCTGCTGTAGCAGTTCGCATCTACGGGAATTTGTACGCGCCAGACCTCAAGTGGACCTCGTACAAGTACGAAGCCGGTTTGCTGGTCATTGGTTGAGCGATTGAATCTTGGTGCGGGGAGCACCTTCCAGTCAGAATATATGTTTGGGACAGGAAAATTTCACCCAGCGTTACCATCGCAAGAATAACGAGGCAGCCCTCTTGGCGTTGCCCGTGTTGTCTTGGAAACGCCGTGTGTTCTCTGATATGTGAACGAATGTTTGTGGCTAATAGTGTGTTGCGAAAGGCTGTTGAACAGCACCCCCGCCTTCCTTTGGGGGTTGAGGTCGTTTTGAACGAAGGGCCTGCTCAAGGTTGTCACCCACCGCGCACAAACCAGCAAAGGGCGCGCTCTTTCGTCGATTGCTGAAGGTGACAGCGGAACGGTCGTTGGCCTCTTGCGTGCTCCTCACTTGACCATGACAGTCTTGACCAATTGCTAGTCTTGCGAATGAAGAACCATTTCCCGGGGGGCAAACCAAACCAATGTCGAAAATCACGGTAGTTACTCCTCGCATCGCTACAACCCGGTGGCGGCCTCACGTGCTGCGAATTTTCGGGTGATGTTGTCCGCCCAACTTAGAGTCTCCACCACAACACAACCTCCTTCAGCAACCACGGAAAGCTTTGGGCGTACGCTGGTGGTCGCTGTGTTTCCCGGAAAGTATTGCCTAAGCGACTGGCCCCGAGCTCCAACCATGTCGATCTTGCCGCCCCCTGCGTCCGTAGAGCTCGTTGAGCCGTGTCTTGTCGCCCGCGAAGGCTCTACTTGTGCACTGTAAATGCTGCCCACGGCTCTGCCTCTCTGCGTGTCTCCTTTAAACGTTGACGGAACCTTGACAACGTCTCCCGTGATTTCCACATCAGCATCCACTTGCTGGGACAACGACACGTTGATATCACCTCCGTTAGACCTGCGGCAAGGAGGCAACCCCAGTGATGGTTCTTGGTGCACTGCGGTAGCAACATGTCGTCACGGGGTCTCAAAAGAACACTCAGCCTGAATTAGCATATTTCGAAAGGTCTCACAGGATCGCTTCTCCTGCAGCAAGAGTGTGATAGACGCATGTCTACTCGAACCAAGGGAGCACTGCTGGCATAAGCGCTGCGAATAAATCAAGTGGCTTGACCAGTTCCCGAAATGATTTGGTGTCGTCCAGGCATAGCAGGATACGATGAACGATTGTGCTGCAGCAGAGACGTGGCAAACAAACCCGTATTGACCGTTCACGGGTTACGAAACGTGTGCACCATTCTAAGAGTGAAAACGTTTGCTTGCTGCTCATCGCTCAACTTCATATACACTCCTCAAGTAGTTCGGAAACATCGTGTTCGGTTCGATGCTACATACCAAGCAATACTTTGGCCCGAGATGATATGCGACATTGCGCACTGTGGAAGGCCTGCTTGAATGCTTGTAACACCGGGGCAAAAAACGCAACAAAAACCGCGACCGAGGCTTTACCTGATGTGGCTGGCCGTCCCCTCTTCCAACACGTCCAAGTGTACGGTAGCGCCACCTTCACCTGGGGGTACAGCCAATGGACGCAAAAGTAACGAGACGCGGTCACGACAAGACGATCTCCAATACAGTGGCCAGGGAAACTCCGCGTTGACCTCCTTGGAGAACTCCGTCGACGGCCTTCGTTGTCCCCTGTTCGCGAAACTGCAATCAATAATAGCGTGTGCTAGCACTTGCGGAACCTGCCTCATGGTATGTAAACACTCAGGTGTCTGTACGACCAAGAGCAACGGCTGCTCCTCCACCTAAAAAGTTACGAATCACACCTTACCTGCAGATACATGGGCGGTCCCACTGACGCTGGAAAGGTTGACACTGCCCGACGTGTCGGCGGTGTGCACTGCGATACGCCCGTGGCACGAAGACACCCCTACGTTCCCTGCTGAAGTGATGTGGGCGCCGGACGAGTACAACGCGCCCACGTTGACTGATGGATCGTCGTGGCCTGTCGTATTAATTTTCACCTTAGCTCCATTGATGAGTCTTGCACGAACCTTCGGACAGACAACGACCGCGTCCATTCGGGGTCTTGAGCCGGCACATCGGGACGACGGCGATTGATAGGCAAGATTTGTGGAAGACAAGCTCTCCACGAAACTGGCTGTAGGCGGAGTAAGCACTGGACTCAGTAATCGACGAAACATAGCACAATTTGACTCACACGGACAGAGTGCCAACTGCGTATCCGCAAGGTGGCAACCGGAAAACAACCTCTCCGTGGACGAATATGCGATTGATTGCTGTGTCTCACAGGAACGGAACGATCAACAGTGTCGTGCAGTATGCGTGTATTCTCCGGGGGGTACGGAATCGCCTGTTGCAGATTTTCCAGACCACGAGGTAAGCAGCCAAACTCCCTCGCCTGCAGCAGTTCATCGTTGTGGGGCTGCCGTACAACAATACCACCATACACCAACGAAAGCTGCGGAACGCAACACTCTTAAACAACTGTCTCATATCAAAGATGTGGTCCAGTTGCAGCACCAACCGTCCTTGCAGCCATCTGTGCGCAGCCGATGTCACTTTCAGACTTGGAGCTCTCAACAATACTTGCTACTCAAAAGCACTGAGTTCATTGCCCATACTCTTATTGGCAGTCCTGGTGATCGCCACAGAACAAGGTGAGAGAACCAAAGGCAATCACCATTCACTTCTCCGCGGATATCAAATCTTCATTGATGGCCGGCCAACTGCTGGGTGTCACTACAACTGTCGGTGGGTTGCATGAACAACTTGGAGGCGTTCAAGGTGATCAAAGGTTGAACTCGAGCTGCTCACCCTACAGCAGCGTGCAGCGCGTTCGGGGTATTAGGCGATTTCAAACGCGCAGAGTGACACAGCTAACGTCGAAACTAGAGTCCGCCACAACCTGCGTTTTGCTTCTGCTGCCGAACATGCCGCTCAACATTGTTCGGGTGGTGACTCACGTTCGATGTGGCGGTAATATCCACGTTCCCCTCTAGCTCGTCGACCTTGATATGCCCACGGCCTGTTGATAGCCGAATTGTCTCCCCGCGAACAATACCGACGTTGATGTCCCCCCTGTCGAGCCGGACTTTGCAGTCGCCCTTGATCTTCTTGGACACGGAAACGTTGCCGTGCGAGGCCAACAACTCCACAGAAAAAAGCTCAGGGACCACGGCCTCGATGAGATACGTGTCTTCCACGCTCGGGTGCTCTTTATCATGGGCAAGCGTGACCTGGGCATGAGCCTCGTCCGCGTGTAACGAAAGGCCTGCAGCATCGAGGTTGCTTAGAACTTCCTTGGCCCCCGCTCCCGCCAAGCTGCGACCATCAGAACCAGCAGGGAGGCGCGAGACTTCAACGCTGCATGAGTCTATCCACTGTGTGGTGACCTTGATCACCGCTGCCGCCTTGGCCATGTCTATAACAAGACGCCCGCCCTGGCCAATCGGGATTGTTTGAGCATGACCTGAAGACGTGAAGCACGCATGTAGTGCTCCAGGCAGCCTCGGCAACCTTGGCAGCCTCGTCAGCATGCCGTCGCCGCAGCGAGCGGCCAGTGCGCCGCGGGAGCAAGCGAATACCATGCCGTAGCGCACAGCAAATTTTCCGCGCGCTGAGAGGAGGGAAATAGAGAAAGCTGTCGAGATCACGCGCTTCGCGCAGAGGTGTACGCGTGCGTCGAGCGACAGGAATTGAGAGCAGACAACAGCAATAGACAGCAGACACGTAGACATACCGTTTGAAACGCGGCGTAATGGGAGTCTATGCTCGCGGGCGGATGTTGGCTCGTGGGGACTGGTACTGACAGTCCCGCGCGAGGGAGTCCCCGCCTTCAAACCCAACATACACACGGTTTGCTTCGCGATGGCGCTGTCCGCTACTTCACGTGCACTGCGCGTTGTGCTAAAGGGGCCATGCCATTTCCGTGGGGGGCTGCTAGACCCAAGTTGGTGAGTTCCATAGTTCAGTGAAGCACATCGCAGGGTTGAGATGCGGTGGTCTCTCGTCGTTCTGCGGTGATGCGGCAGAGTTCGCGTACAGCCTACGTTGGTGAGTGAGAGGAAACTCTGCCTCCAGGCGATTCATGTCAAGTGAAACGAATGATCTATCTTGGGAGTTCGTGATTCTGCGCCTGATGTATTTGAGCGAATATCATGTGCGAGACTTCCATCCGTGTGTGACGCGAGATATCACCCCACACACACTCGCGGAATGTTGTCCGGTCTGACGGTCTGACCCTTAACTGGCCACACACAGGGCGTTCACGGTAGGAGAGAAGATACACAGATCGACGATGCCATGGGCGTTGACGGAAAGTTGTGAGTGTGATCTTGCGCATTGGAACAGAGTGTGGGTGGCGTCCCATCTTTGTGTGATAGACCCCACCTGCAGTGCAACATGAGCATAACCATGCATGCAGGAACGTCGTTATCAACGACTCCTCTACCCGCCTTGCCCTTCCCCGCGACAATTCCCTCGCTCCCATAGCTCGGTGGCACTCCTGCGCGCAAGACCTGCGCAGCACCACCGCCAGGCAGCAGCGGCCTTGCACAGCAGCACGATGCTCCTCGACCGTGGGGACAAGCGAGGAGAGTCACACAACAGCAGTGTCGACAACGGGGACAAGGAAGGAGACACGGGCTCGGCTGACGAATCGAAACCCGCCTCCGTGAGGAGTGTGTCCATGACGGACAAGGACAAACCCGACGTTGTCGATTTGGTGAGTTAATAGGGTTGCGTTCAAGTGTCTCATGTCACTCACCCTTTCGCACGCCGCTGACAGAGACCATCGCGCTGGCATTTTGCAATGTTCAAGTGTGGCTTTCTTTGCATGCGTTCTACGCCCAGGTGCTGTCGCCAGAGTCATCACAGTACCACGCACCGCACCCTAGCTGTGTAGACTATGCGGCGCGGTGGTGCGGAATGTGCCTACACTACACTCAATACTACTTCGCCGGCCGTTTTCTTTCCGGGGAGTGGCAGTACTGGAACTAACACGGCATCCCTGCCTCATTTCAATACCTGCCTAGGCGGACTTGATCATGTCCGGCACAAGCTACGAAGAAGCGGTGAAGGGGACGGAGTTCGATGCCTTAGACAAAGAAACGTCGAAAGAGTTCGAGGAGTCGACTCGTCGATTGACGGCTCTGCGAGAGAACAGACTCGAGGAATACCTGGAGGAGACAGGGTGAGTGTTCTCGCGGACCCCGGTCACTTGGAAACCTTGGCCGAGCCCGCGTACTCAAAACAGAGGGCAGCCGCAATAGCAGCAGGTGTAAGAACGCGATGTATGGGGTGCTGCCACGATGTTGCTTTATCAGGAGACAGCCTGTCCTGTTTGGTAGCTTCACGGTACGCACGGCAGTAGTTCGTGTTTTCCCCCAGCAATGTATCTGCAAACAGCCAGCATGCTACCAGTTATCACCAGCTCTGAGTGAGACGCACATTCAATTACTTTTCGTTCCTAGCATATGTAATCATTGCTGCAACCGTATTTTATGGTTTGTTTCAAGCTCCCCACTGGAACAGGACAATTGGGACAAATACCTGGTCGTGGTGTTGTCGTGCTGTCACCTTTGGGTATGTGCCATACATTGTATATATGGTCCGCGCTGACGTTTGTAGTTTTCGCTGAATTCGCCCCCCAACGTGTGCGATCGCTGTATCTCGTGCTGCCTCCGAATCGTGGCAGCGAGACGGATCTACTGGACAAAGTTCGCGCAATTTATGGCGAGCCTGAGACCTCTGAACAAGTAAGCAAACAAGGAGCCAGGATTGGCTGTGTGACGAGCCTTGCCTGGCCTGTTTGATGGCGACTGCGTATTTGGCTTCCAACATCCTTCGCAAGAAGAATCACCTGAATTGTTTTGCGCTCGTCCACGACCTTGGTGTAGGCTGCGTGTTGCTATTGTTTGCTCTTTGTCCACTGGTTTGGCTACGGTGCTACCGCCGTGCGGTGACGGGTGGTGTAGTAGCACTCTCTGCGAATGGTGTTGAATGTGGCACCGTTGAGGCGGTTCGATGGATTGCTTGGGTGTTGTCACGATCGGCTTTCGCAACGCAACGCTGTGCTGTTCTCTAACCCATGTGTTTACTAGACCTCGGGAATAAGAAGGGCTCCTGGTGACGTATCTACATGCATACTTCTGACGCATGCACTCGCATCATCGTGTGCTGGCAGAACACATCGAGGGCTTGTTTCTCTCTGGCGCAAACACGGATTGCAATATTCAGCATGCCACAGCAGTCCTCTTCGTTGACGAGTGCATCGCCCGCCCATTCCCTTTTTGTTGCAGACTGACGGTCCTGCCCCTCCCAAGAAGAAGAAGAAGAAGACAGTGGAAATGGCGCAAGGACAGTGGGCCGAGATTTTGGTCCACACTGACCGAGTGACCAAGGTGCAGTGTTCACGAAGAAGCTCGTGCGATATCTACTCCACTTAAGCCCGGTATTGATGTGCTGTCCACCCTGTTTATTTTCGCTCAGTAACTCGTGCTCCATAATGTTTGAAATAGTGCCTTGGTTGGTCGCGACCAAAGGCCGACAATGGACGCGCAGCGTTCGAATATCCCAGCCAGCGCGATTGTTTTCCTGACCGCACGGCAACGCCATTCTTTTCCGGTTGCACTCCGAGCGTGTCACACCGAACAGCCGGTTGTCCGTTGCCCTTATTGAGGCGGGTTCATTCCTGTGTGATGCAACTGGTGTAGTTTGGTGATGGAACGAAAGCGTGGATTACGGATACGGTTGGTATATCTCTTCCACCATCTCGTAACCTAACCTATTTACCGGCCCTGACCATCGTTCCTCAGACCGTCAAAGGCGGCATGGAGATCCAGTACAGGGCCCTGGTGACCGTGGGCAACCTCCACGGTGTCGGGGGATTCGCGATTGGCAAGGCAGACACCCCTGCCGTGGCCATCACCGAAGCCAGCCGGTGAGTGAGGTGTTCCTTCCTTCCGCTTGATCGCGTTCCCGCATTCACAGGCCAGCACCTGTTTCCTCTTGGTGTTGGAAGAAGTACTCGTGGCTGATTTTCTTCCGCCAACCTGTCTCGATACTACCCTTTGATTCGCTTGGCTCATGCCCTGCCGTCTTACCGTGTTCTGTCGTGTGATCGTTGTTTTCGTTTATCTCGACAGAAAAGCGAAGTTGCTGCACAACCTCGTGTACGTGGAACGGTATAAGCAGGCGTCTCTGTGCCAGGACCTCGTGGGGAAGCACAACGGAAGCAAGGTACAACGGGAATCATCTCAATGGTTCGCCACCACGTCTTGCCAAGCGTAACGTCGGGGTGCTCTCTGCCGTCGATCACGGTGTCGAAGATGCCAGAAGGCTTGGTGCTAAACACGTTAGGTGTACGAGGGCGGTCGAACGTCGCTCTCTTGACCCATGCATTTTCACGCCTACTTATGACACCATGTACCAAACGTTCCATGTCTTTTGGGGGGGGGGGGCGGTGGCGGTGGGGGTGTCGCAGGTGTACATCTGGTCGAGGCCACCAGGGTCTGGCATGAGAGCGGGCAAGCTGTCGCGGGACATCTTGTACAACATGGGCATCACGGATGGCGCGGTATGTGATGTTGGGTGTGTGTGCTGTTTCCGTCATTTCCGGAGTCTACCGTTGGAAGGGACGCCGTTGTCGGTTCGGTCATATGTTCTGGGTTTGGTTTGCAGACCTCCAGTCTTGACCAAGCCCAAAATATGGCTAATTTCGCGCTTTTAAAACAAACCACGATCGAGAGCATACTGTTGGGGTCTTGGCACTCTGTATGTTTATTGTCGTAGCTTTCAGCTTTGTCTCATCGCGTTTCACGTTTCTGCCGAGATGCACCTCAGAGAGCTTTTCACATACCCGCGTTTCTGAGGCCTATGGTTCACTCTCCGCCCAACCCGCCATTTTTCATGCAGTGCAAGATCATCGGAAGGCGCAACAAGTACTCCATGATCTACGCCATGTTCGACGCCCTCGCCAAGCACCGTGGAATCGAGAGCATAGCGAGGGGGCGGGGCAAGCGCATCTTGTCTCTCCAGCGAGAAATGGCAGGGCGGTTTGCCTGAGTAGACGTGACCATAACGTGCCCTTGGCGAATCGTATCTGTTTTGTTCCGATGTGTTGAGTCAGCAGAGACCGGCTTGTGAAGGTTGATTTGCTATGTAGGGGCGTAAAGTACTGCGAGTGTTGGAGGCGTCATCAACGACAAGAGCAACGTTCGAAAGTCGCTGAAGTGGAAGCATGATGCACACCGTCAAGTTCTGGTGCATTTGTTTTCGTCATGTCAGCGTGAGCAGAGTGAGCGAAGCAGCAATCAACAGGACTCATTTGAGCCTTGGGTAGTTAGTGCCTTTGGGACCGTTATATTTGATTGCATTCATGTGTCCTCTCCCGCCGTGACCGAGCGTGGTTGGAACCACCCAATACGCTGCCCGTCACTACAAAGCATACATGTACAAGACTTTTGGGCAGCTTACGCTGAGAGAAGCGTTCCGCAAGAAGCTTGTTATCGGCGTTGTTGTATGGCCGTCTTGTTGGTCTACTTGTCCTTGCTCTTGCTTACGTACGGTAGTCTGTTGCGACACCGAAGGGGTGCGAAGGGATGCGTTCGCATGGGGTCGACGAACTGGACACGCGCACACTTCTTGGCGTGTATAACGGGTTGTTGGTGGGCAGGCGAACGTTATTGTGAAAATGGGTTGATATGTTGTGTGTAGTTGAATTTCGAAGTTTCATGTACCGACACAAAGAGGGTGCCGAAAAGCGCGGATCGGATGCTCGAAACGTGCCCGGAGTACCACTGCTGTACCCCGACCGACTCCTACAAAAAAAATAGCTTTCACCTCGCAGAAAAGTGTTCACGACAAAGCTCGGACAAACGACATGTACTTACTCGTTCGAGTAGTTTCACCAGACATCGGCAAGTTGCAGCGGGAAAACAAAGTGGAATCAATTTGGAGAGAGATGTTTGATGGGCCGTTGAAAGAAAATATACCACACATGCATACATTCCCGAAGGCGTATCATCACCCATCCATCCATTACATTTCGTGTCACATAAACGACCACAACCAACCGACGCCGTGTGTGTGTGACACACACGGCGTCGGTTGGTCGAACTGGGAGGCGTCTGGATCTGCACCTGACTAGTTTCGTATGGGATCATGTATCCCAGAACCTGAGGCCTGGAAGCGAGAAAAGATATGATCCCAAACTAGTCAGGCGCAGATCCCGACGCCTTCGAGTTCCAACCAACCGAACCCGACGCCTGTAGGCGAGGAAGACATGATCCCAAACAAGTCAGGCGCAGATCCCGACGCCTTCCAATTCCAACCAACCGACACCATGCGTGTCGACACGCATGGCGTCGGTTTTTTGGAACTGGAAGGCATCGGGATCTGCGCCTGGCTAGTTTCGTATGGGATCATGTATCCCAGAACCTGAGGACACACACGACGTCGGTTGGAAGAACTGGGAGGCGTCGGGACCTGCGCCTGACTAGTTTCGTATGGGATCATGTATCCTAGAACCTGAGGCCTGGAGGCGAGGAAGACATGATCCCAAACTAGTCAGGCGCAGATCCCGACGCCTTCCAATTCCAACCAGCCGACACCATGCGTGTCGACACGCAAGGCGTCGGTTGTTCGGAATTGGAAGGCATCGGGATCTGCGTCTGACTAGTTTCGTATGGGATCATGTGTCCCAGAACCTGAGGACACACACGACGTCGGTTGGTGAAACTGGAAGGCGTCGGGACCTGCGCCTGACTAGTTTCGTATGGCATCATGTATCCCAGAACCTGAGGCCTGGAGGCGAGGAAGACATGATCCCAAACGAAACTATGTAGTCAGGCGTCAGGACCTGCGCTTCACTAGTTTCGTATGGAATCATGTATCCCAGAAGCTGAGGCCTGGAGGCCAGGAAGAACCCACGGAGTGCTTCAAGTGTCACCGGAACGAAGCCAATGGTGCACGTAACGAACTCTATGGAATCGAACCCCGGCTCCACGCCTCGTCGTGCACCTTGCTGAAGGATTCCACGTCTGCCACAAGCAAGGCTACAGGCTGCCCACCTCAAAGACGTGAAGGACGAAGTAAATGGAAAAACGGAACGTCTAGCCCGGTCACGTGCTTGGCACCTCGGGACAGACAACTATTGATCAAGGTAACATCGCCGACCCGATGACCAGCTTCCGTGAACGTGGTCCCGGTCCACACGCCCGGAAAATGTCTGTCAAGCGGTACACGGTTCCTGACTTCATGCTGTGTGCCCCAATGTGTCGCTGGGATACGACCCATGTAGACCCCGCCGGAGACGTGCCTCGGCCTGTGGGCGCACGGAAAGGACAAGGAAAACGGCCGCCGCTGCCGCAATCAAATATCATGGTATGAAACATGTACAGTATTCACAACTACCCGCCCGTTGGCTGTGACAGCAACAACGGACCTGACCGCGGATGTCATGGAACCCCCGCCACACACACAGGGAGAAGCTCAAGATCAAAACAACGTTAATGTCTCCTCTCCCTCGGCCCCAACGACATCGAAAGCTGTGAATCAAGCACCTAGAACAGCACAACTCTCCGAGACAGGCCGCCCTGTCGTTGGCTCATAACCTCAGTTGAGCTGCTTTTCTTGCTTGTGTCCTTGGCATCTCCCTCCATGCACTTCCCTGCCGACTTGACACTCGCTGTCACCTGCAGGGCACACACAAGAAATCCCAGAGGGTTAGCAGCAGTTGAATCAGCGTGATAAGAAGGGGGGAGTGGCTCCAACGAAACCACGTCCTAATCTATTGGCAGGGGTTGGGAGTCGAAAGCGATGAGATTTCCTCGGCACGAAGAGGGGAGCTTGGACATACACACAAGAGCCAAAGCACCCAGCAGTATACGCGTTGTCCCCGCGTCATCACGTGTATCGATTTATGGCACCGCAACAAGCAGTGAGTGCCTGGCGTCTGCTATAACATTGTGCCTGTTGCGTCCACCGTCGACGCCAGAGACTCCTAATTAACCACGCTACCAGAGCAGAGGGTCACACAGGACGAGGTTTGTCTGCGGCCTTCGCTTTCCTCCTGAGATGCATGCCTTTCCTTCAGAAATTTGTTGGCGAAACTGTTTCCAACGCTAGTTTTTGTCTCCTTCTCAAACCAACCGTTGGAAGAGTCTGTACTCACGGATTCCTGAAGCTGACTGAAGAACTTCGCAGAGGTGCTGTAATTCCCGCCCACTTGATTCCTCGCCCCCTGCGAAAGGACGTCAAAACCAGGCGAGGGATACGTCAGCCAGTCAGAAATGCATACTGACCATAACACTGCATCAATACATGAGCGTACCCAAAGGCTTTTACAACCTTATTACAATTGATCGTGAGGGTCCTCATGAGAGATCGAACTGGGGACGTTGGGCGGCTCAGGTTGCAAGGGCAGCCTGACTCGCTGTCAGTAAGTCTACATGTGCGTTGATAGCATCCACAAAAAATCCAAAACGCGACTCACAGGCGTCCAGAACAACTGCAACCGGTACGCCTCGTACAATAACCAATCTGTCCTCAAACGTAAATAGTGAAAGGCGATCTGCCCGACTGCTGCCAACATAAAACAGTTGCTTGGCGACTTCCGCGTTTCAGGCAAGCAACATAGCATCGAAACAGGTGCCGCTTCGCCGAATGCGCGGTGTAGAGCATTTCGACTCGGTACGGCCCGAGAAAAACAGCGCACTGTACAGGAAGGTGCTTCCTGCTTGCGTTGTCAACAACTGTTTTGTACACCGCGCGTGCAGTGGAGTACCGGTGGCGGTGGTGACGTTCTTGGCACCCTCGATGTCCCTCATCATCTTGGCCGTCTCGTACTTGTTCCCGAGACCCGGATTGAGCTTGGACACCAGCTTCTGGGCCGCTTCCGCCTGACGATCGACGGCGCCATCAAGCATGGATTGCGCTAAGAAACTCAACATGCCAGAATTGTTTACAGCAATGCATCACTTGATTTGATCAACAGCATGCGGCATGCGGCTAAAGAAACTGGCGGTGTATCTTGGTCTCACCGACAAGAAAAAAACTTGCTGAAGAATCAACCTAAAACGCCCGTTCAATTGTTTATTTTAGGGAGACTTGCGGTAGATGTACAGCATTCAAATTTACGGCCTTCCACTGCAAGGTGCCATCATGCATGCATGGTGGCGTAGAGGCAGGCTGCATTTGCGTCTCCGGTAGTGACACCGCCGTTGCCGGGTAACTTGGTGTGTACCATCTAGACAACCAGTCTACCATATATAGGACCTCATCACCGGCTTTTGAGTCAAGCAAAACCCTCATGCTTCGAAGGGAGGCCTTGCGGGGAATAACTTGACAGCACTGGACGGTCTTCGAGCAGATCCGAAACGCTAAGAACAACCTCTTCAACACAGACACGAATGCCACTCTCAGTTTGAACCAAAAAAGGCAGCACACGCAGGCCACCCGAATTTTGCCACAAGGTGGTGTGCATGTGTACCTGTCGCCTGGCTTTCCGCCTGACGGCCTTCTTCGGCCTTCTTCGACGAGCGTGACTGTTTTCGATCCTCCTGGCTCATTTCTGCCCCACCTGCTAAACTAGTGCGGCAAGTTTGACATGGTCGAATGAGAATAAAACGAACACACGACACGAAACCAGACGATGCGAACCTTGCTCACGATATTACCCCGAGCGCAGGAACAGGCGGTGTTGTGAATGGGCGCGGAAGACGCAAGCTATGTACTATCACACAAGGCCGGCCTGTCGAGAGGTTCCCAGCAATCAGCACAGGGACATACGCAATGTGGAACTCTCGTACTACTACAAGGTTTTGAATGTGCTCTGCTGTGCCGTCGACATGCACCAAGCAGAGCGCATGCCAGGAAAATTTGGAGGGCGTGCACTAAAAAAATACGGCGATACTTGCATACATACACAGTCGCCTGGCCAGCCAACGTCCTGAACCTCAACATTCGGGGGGAAAAAAACATCCCAACATCACCAAGTACTTGTCAGTCAGTCATCAAGGCCTGAACAAGGCTTCAATTTCGATGCAACGCAGCAAAATGCTACTGCCGTACTGAGGCATGATCGTCGCACAAGATTCTGTACCGAGCACCCTCCGCACCAAACAAGTGCCCGCGTGCGAACGACCCAAAGTCACGCGAGCACACGAGCAAATAAACGGGAGTAATCTGAAACACGATTTCGCCGCGGCCACCATACCACAAGGCTCAGCAGCCAACCAGCACAAACGCCACCCTTCCTACCTTCCAAGAACTCTGTTTCTCGGCCCCACCTTTTCTTGTGTCCAGAGGCCCGAATGGCTTCCATTCGGCCTCACACTTCCTCGCTACATATGGAGAACAGGCTTCGCAGGACGCTCGCCAGCTCCTGGGGACCGGTATTTACCATAAATTCATCCGTACGCGTAACAACGAAGGTGGGACGACAGTGATGTGTTCGGGATCTGCCGCTGAATTCGGTTCGGTTGGGGTAACTTGCAAACTTGCTCCCCCGAGTGGCGTAAGGTACAAGCGAGTGGTGTAAGAGACCACCCCCCCCCCCATGGACAAATCTTTCAGATCTCGAATACTCCGCAGTAACAACAGCAGTTACGGTGCCCAAAATGGAGATCGTGGAGCCGCCTATTCAAGACTTTTTCAGCAAATTACGTACTCTGGAGTGTCTGGTATCATTTGGTGTTGATACCCTCTTCGTCGTGGGCGTACAATTGAGCCATACTAATCGGTCCACGGGGAGGTACATAGGTATCTTGCGGGATCCACGGTAGCTGAAACGGATACCAATAATACTGAACGGTTGATACGACCCTGAAATTCACCACTGTCAGTATGCTCTAAACAAGCTAAGACTTGCAATGACATTCCCCATTGGCCAATGCGGCAGTGTCCTCGTATGCATATGTACATTTGGTAGCAAGAATCCGTGCCAAAGATCCGGGGTGGTATCTTCCGTACTACAGAGAGCCGTCCACCGCGTGCAGCACGCGATGCCTCGTTGATCACCGATTGGAGGCCTCTATTCCATGTCTGCCATAGCACAAGTCACCTTTGCAGTGCTCTCGTTTGCTTGAGAGAAGTCCTCTGGTCTGCTTTCCGCGAGATCGAGACGATCAGCCGCCTCCTGGAAGGCCTGTTGGGACGAGGCCAATCATCTTTTGTTTGACGCGGCAGCAGCAGCAGCAGCAGGAGCAGGCATACGGATATAGCACCACCGCTGTTTCGTTCTAACGCGGGTAAATTCCTGGAAGCTCTCGGTCACTTCGCCATAGGCTCGACCCGTGCGTGTGTGCACGAGACGTGAAGGAGGTCACAGCAGACAACGCAAGTCTGGATGTGTGGGTTAGCTGATGTAGTGCGCGTGTGCGGGTGTGTACAGCAGTAACCACAAGCACAAGCTGTATTTTGGCTGCGGACTGACAAATCCTTGTGAATCCTTTCCGGAGTTCGATCCACGGAGCCCCCTTCAAAATTCCGCCGCATGTTTGATCTGGTGGTTGCTCCCTCGTTCCCTTCCCACTCTCCTCTCACACCACCGCCACCACCCACTTGGGGGAGCGGGTCATCCCTTGTCCCTCGCATCGCATACGTATTACCGGCCGATCCTGTGCCGGGCGTTATAAAAGAAGACAGGAGAGGCTCCACAAGGACCGGAAGATCTGCTGTGCCCAAAGCCGCAACGGCGCGTGTGCATGTTTTTTTGGCCCACGGCTCTCGGGGGAACGTTTTGATCACGGCGGACTCTCCGGCGCCCTCCCTCGCCCGAACGGACAGCCTAAACTGAAAGCGCACGCCGCCCCAACGTTCAAGTTTGGTCGCAGCTGCTGACGCAGTGCCTCTTCTTGCTTAAGTATCCCCCCGCTCAGAGCAGGTTCAAACCTCAAATCGCCCACCAAAACATCTGAGATCTATCCGTGGGGAGACACACAGCCGTAGTCGTCTTGGGCAGCGTGGTAGTGCGGAACTGAGGCATGGACTGGGCTCCCGCCGACGTCGCCCCGTCGAGCTCTTCAGCTGTCGGCTTCGGGGAGCCTGCGGGAAAGGGAACAGCTTCCCCAGATGCAACGATGGTGTCCGCTCCCACCAACAACCTGAACCCACACGCAGACCCGGGCCACCACCCGCCCGCACCACCGGCTGCTGCGGTGGCAACTGTTTCGGCAATTGCTGGACCGTCCGGACAGGCACATGGGGGGTGGGAAGGTGTAGCGGGGAACCAGGAAGGAGAGCCCGATGCCGCCGCCACGGCCCGATCGACGGATCCACGACCGGCAGGCGGGCGTGGTCGAGACAGGACGCCCCCGCCGCGGTCGACCACGGGCCCGGCGGCTTCCAACTCCGCGATCATTGCCGTTGTCGACCTGCGTGCCCTTCATCAGCAGCAGCAGCGGGCTCGGGCTGAATGCGACGACTTGGTGCAGAGGGGTCTGCCCACGGAAGCGTCGCCGTCTCCTTCGCAACAGAATGCTCCGTCGCACGGGCAGCAGCAGCAGCAGCGCCCCAGCCCTGACAACGGCGGAGACAACAAGAGCACCCAGAAGAGAAAGAGGAAGTCCGGTAGAAAGGCCAAAAAGAAAGACACGGACGAGCACCAACCGGCCGGGACGGGCGCTACTTTCTATGCGCCTGGAAGCGTGCCGTCGGGGGCGTGGCCCGCTGTGCCAGCGACAACGAGACCGTCGACGAATCCACGGGCAGCGAGAGGGCGAGGTCGAGAGGCGACGCTACCGGCGTGGATGACTGCGACCCAGGCAACTCCGCCGGGTGGACTTCAACCGCAAGCGGGGCCTGGAACCAATTCGCGGATGCCCGGGCCTACGGGGTTGCCCTCATCTGGGCCGCAACAGGGTGCCCAAACCACTGCCCACGGCGACAACAAGACAAAGAATAAATCAGAACCAAATGACAAGAAAACCCAAGGAAGAGGAGCCACCACACTGGCGTCCGCAGCATGGCCTACCGACTACCACCAGGAAACGTCAACAACGGTGGCAGTGCACGGTCGAGGAGCCCCGCTCGGGACGACGGTGCCTTCCGGGGCACGCACAAATGCTGCGCCAGGCGGGCTCCAACAGCAACCGCAGCTTGCGAGCCCTCGGGCTCCTCGACCTCTACCGGCCGGGTTGAACTCGTCTCGCCCTAAAGAGAATAATCAGATTGTTTCCTTTGGCAAGGGGAGCGCTAGCATCCAGAACAAACCGAAAAAGAACAAGAAAAAGAAAAATAACAAGAAAAAGAAGAAGCCCCAAGCGGCCGGGACAAGCACTACCCAATCGGCGTGGCCTTCACCCGCCGACCTAAAGAGAAGCGATGGGAGTGCGATTATTCAGAAACTTGCTGGGCCTGCACCCGCAGCTACGGTCAAGTCGAACCACCGTGCCCCCAAGAATGGGTGGGTGGCAGCGGTCGGCGCTTTCCACGGACAGGGGGCGTCAAAAACGGTGTGGGCAGGGGGCGGCAGTGGGCCTTCAAGGCCCAAGAGAAACCGGGAAGAAGAGCTAACGACGGCCGAGATAACCACCCGACTGCGCGATCCGAGCAAGGCGCCGGGGCAGCAGCAGCAGCAGCAAACGCCTGACGAGATGATCGACATGGTACGGCGGATGGCCAGCATGGGGGTAGCGACGGTGCCGAAGAAGAAGAAATCGACTCTTGACGCAAGCAGGGAGCCGAAGGTGATTTTCAACATATAGCTCAATAATTAGGTGTTCGCGCGTGTTCGCGGCTTGTAGGTCACGCCCGCGGCGGTGCTAGCGTATCCTGTGGAGCATCACAACACGCTTTGGGTGAGGTCACCGAATGGCGGAAGTTCTGACGGCTGCGGTTGCTGCGCAGGCCCCAGGAACAAAAGATCGTGGCGAAAGTAGGAAAACAAAACAACTTGTGTGTCTTTCGCCTTGTCCAAGAACAACGAGTCTTGTTGCGCTGGTAGTCCTTCTGCGTGGCTACAGGGCGTGAAAAAGTGAGTAAATACCAGACAGAAAGCTCCCCTCCTTGTTTTTGACGGTGTTATGCGCGTATTCCCGGTTTTCATGGAACGCGCGGCAAGAACATCAGCACTTTAGTTTGCCATTTTGCCCGACTACGACCAAGCAACGGTTTTGCCAGAGGTTCGTGGTTCCACCCAATAGTGATCCTTGGTTGAAACAACTGCCAAGTCCAACAGTTGGCGACTGTCAAGTCCAACAGTTGGCGCTCGTGCCTCCAACCTGTGCTCAGCATTGTCTGTTTGCTGTATCCCTTTTCGCCAATCTCTTTCCGCAGGCGCTGATCGCTACCAGGGCCCGATTCCGGATAATACACCACCACGCCCTTCCGAGCCAGCAGCAGTTGGTACTTTATAAGCCACCAACCTTCAACATCGCCAGCGGCCGAAGCGGCGCAACCAGAAGCAACCAATCGTCGTGGGTCCCGCCCCCACGTGCCCCTCTTGCCATCAAGCCTTCAACTTGGACGACCCCGAAGCAGCCGCCACCACCGCCGCCGCCGCCGCCGCCGCCCTCTCCTCTTGTGGTTATCGACGGAACCGATATCGCGCTTACCTACTGGAGAACGGATGACCGGTGGTCCGCTCTCCAGCCTCTGCTGGCAATCCAGGTGTGTGCGTCGTCGCTCCCTTTCGATCGGGCGCGTGATTGGTCGGTGCTGGTATTGCGCCGATGCATCGGTGGGTTCAACGTGCTGGGAGGTGGTCTATCCCACCGGATTGCTTTAACAGCATGGCTCGAACCGTTGTTGTGTGCATGAAGCTTGCGCGTCTCTGTGAAGTTGTGTTGTTATTGTGTGTCAACCGCTGTTGCCGTCCTACCTGAAACCGCCTCCCCTGCACCACCCTTAAACCAGCAAGACTATTGGTTCGCCTAGAGGACACAGGCAGTATGGTGTAAGGAAAACTCCTCAGCTCCCGCTCTCGCTGTCGTTCTCTTGCTTGAGCAGTTTTTCAAGGAACGGGGAGTGCCATGCGTGGCCTTTCTACCCCGCGAACGCGTCTACGGCGTCACCCCTCAAGACGGTGAGATGCGAAAACAGTTTCGATACACATCCCTTCTTGCGGCATGAGGGTGCGGCGTGACCGGAGTTAGTGAAGCCTTCCGTTGTTTGGGCGTTGGGGTGTGGGCAACTTGGAACTGGGGAAGATGTGGTGGCGGCAGCATCGCGAACTCGACAATATGATCCGAGCAAAATTGCGATCAGGTTGTGGATCACACACTCCGCGTAGACATGGTTCCTGCTATGTCAGCGAGTACACGCCATGGCGCGCTCGTTATCTCTTGCCGTTGCACCGCGTGTAGTCCGCGTTCCATTCTCTCGTGCGGTGGTCCGTGATAACTTTGAGTTGCAACTTCCTGAACTTCTCATCCTCCGCGCCTTTGTTGTTTGCGTCTTTCGAAGAAACGCACGTCAGTAACTTTGGGTGATTTTGGTAGCCCTTCCGTAACTCCATGTTTGGTAGCAAACTGGGTTCCCAAAACCTTGGTTATCGGCAATATATACTGCTACCTGGCTACTTTACCCGTTTGGATGCGGGGCCCTTTCTTTGCTCGAATCATGGCCCCCCCTAGTTGTTCTTGGCTGGTAAATAATCACTTGTTCCGTATTCAGGGGGATCGCCGATTAGTTTCGAGGGAAGTTTCCTGCGGTCGGATCTAGTGCACAAAGACATGCGTCGACCAGTAGTGGGAGTCCGCGCTGGGGCATACTCATTGCCCACGTTTGGCATGCCCCGCCCCAACCCCTTGAACCCGGTCGGCTCTTCCCCATTGATGACAGATTTCTACACCGCGTTTCACGAGGCGCGGAGCCGCAGAGCAATCTCGGAAATCCCGCAGGGAGCAAACGCGAGTCTTTTCATTCTCAAGTGAGTGTACACCCCCCCACATTGACGGCACGAGGTGTCTAGATTGATCAGAAAGCCCCCAGGGCATAAAACTCCTAGGAGGGTCTCGGGACGCTAGCAGCGGCCCGCGTGGCAGGCCGAGGTGGTAATCGGCGCTATACCGAGCAAGGTGTGTTCGGCGAAGGACAGGGTTGGCAATTGGCAGCAAAATGTTTTGGTATGCGCCCCCGGCCCTGGTTAGGGAGCACGCCTGTCATTGGAGAGCATGGAAAGCTGAGCCGTTTCATCACGCGAGCCAGGTTTTGATGTAGCAGTGGTACGCTTCGACGGCGCAACTGTGAGTCCTGATACTGCGACATCCGGTCCATGGCCAAGAAGACATGTTGAAAATATGCCGGATACCAAAATTATGCACTCATTCCAACGCGCTTTTAATCCCTGTTTGCTTTCGGGAGCCATCTCCCATTACCACACCATGACTTTGCTTGCGAAGGTGGGCAAAACTAACCAGCATCGCCCGCGCGCGCCACTTCGGTCATGGCTGTGGTAGTTATGGCTATCCGCATATCCGTGAATTGACCACGGCAACATGACACAACTCCCTCGTTCGGACCCCCCTTGGGTGCTTTCTCCCTGGCTGCTGCAGGCACGCCATCGAAAACAACGCCTACGTGGTCACTAACGCGCAGCTCAGCGGCCACATCGCCAGCCCGGCGACACTAGGTGCGCGACATGGTGTTGTGAATCTTGTTTTTGGCGGTGTGGATGACTGCACGCTGACGAACTATCGTCGGTGGGAGCGAGAAGCCTGCTCGGTTCTTTCCAAACGGCTACTTTTTTTTTCACGCGGAAACAGAGGTTGTTGGTCTGGGGGGGGGAAGGATCGAATGAACAACTGGCGTTTACCGTGGCAAAACGTGTTCCACCACAACATCCAAGTCAGCCGTTGTTGCGACTGGATCGTTAGGTCGCTTACCCGGCAGCACAAGTTGGTCTCGTGGGCGCATTCGCTCGTGGTTACATTTCAGCGGTGCTTGGACGCAGTGATTCCCCTGCATGCCGCACAACAACGCCTCCGCCGGTCGTGATACACTTCTCTGTTCGAAATGATAACGACCATTTGGATACAAGCACGGATACCACAACGGTCCTATTTTTCCGAACAGAGTGGTAGCTGCTGGGGAACACCTTTCTCTACCGACACCGGTGTGTACCGTGCAAAATCGATGCCCTGCGTTCCCTTCGCTTCCCGCCGCAGCTTCTCTGGGGCAGACCAAGAACGAACTACACTCTTACCTCTCCCGCTCTCATGTGCGCTACACATTCGCCGGAGATGACTTCACGCCCGACCCTGAAGCGCCGCTCATCAAGGTAAGCCCGTGAACCCCTCGTTGGCCTGTTACCCGCGGACGGATAGCACCAGCGGCGCACGTGCAGAGAGCATGGCTGCGCGTCAGCGACTCCCCCGCTTTTTACGTGTCTTGCCTTTATTGGTGTGATGTGAGAATCGTCCCATGCGATCAGAGCAAGGGTATGCATTCGTGGGCCGGGCATTCGGGTAAAAATGGTGCGAGCTTGCGACGTCACTCACGCACGCGGAACAGGGGGGGGGCATCACCGCCATCAATCGCTTGTGGGCCTCTTCTTGCCCTGCAACCTCGTGCATCAGGACGGGGTGTCAAGGTGTATCTCTGTGTCTTCATCCCGTCATTTTCGTTTTAACTGGAGTACTTTCGACAAGGCACTGACACGCACGCACTACCGTCACACCGAATCCTCTCTCACTAACGGTCTTCGGCAGATGTTCGCGAAGCAGGCGTCGGGAGCAAACCAGACGAGGGGCAACACGACACGCGGGAGAACAACCGAGCCTGGCGTGATCACCTCTCCATTCCCTCACCCAACCATGTGAACACGCCCGAGAGTCGTTCTCCACGCATTAACAAAAACATACTCCTACCCTAGCGTGACCATCGATGTGAGCCTGGCGCGCGTCTTCTTTGAGGCGAGACAGTTTACGCCCACGCGTGCTGAGCTGCCGTCGGGGCTCTAGTTTGGTCGACGTGTGCGGGGAAGTACACAACATAGCAGAGGTGACGTATACAAAAACTATGAAGGCGGATGCGGCCACTCCTTTTCTCAATGAGGGCTGGTGCTGATGTATTGCGCGGACTGTCGACGAAGTGCGCTGAGTTGTTTGGCAGGAACAGATTGCATTGCCATCCGATTGGCTGGTGGTCCTTGCTCGTACAAGGGGGGAGGGGGGAAGGCCATCCAGCTAGATGGAACTTCAGAGGGTGGCAGTGCCAAGCTGTCGTTAACACTGCAGCACGGCACCCGCATTTTTTTTGGTTTCACAAAAAAGGCGTGTGAACACCCAAAACAATTCGAGGGAGCCAAAACCTGGAGCACGCACGTGCCAAAAGATGTTTTGAGGATCTCCATTTCGCCGTAAATGATAAAATATTTCCCAGCACGGAGACATCTCTTGGGTCTGTTTGTCCAGGAAACGATTGTACGATGTAGTCGTTGATCGTGCGCAACCTAAGCCATGAAACCTCAGGCTTGGCGCTACATGACTTTGGTTGCCAGATTCTGGTATCACCCTTGCTAGGTTGTGCGGGGTCCTGGACGGCATTCTGGCAGACAGGTCGAAACGGGCGGGCAAGCCAGAAAAAATAACAGTGGCGTTCGAAAAAAACTATAGCTTCCTGATGAGGATATCGATCGCCCCGTGAGGAGGGGGGGGCGGGGGGGGGGCGAGGGGCTCAGTGCAGTGGTGTACCAAAACTCTCCAGGCACGGCTCCTTGTTGGTTGATTCTCTGTCTTGAGACTGACTGTACCCTTAGCTTCTGCTATTTCAAAGATTCGTCATGTTCCAGATAGTTTCAATTGTAGGATAGGTAGTTTGTTGCTGTTGTTGTTTTTGTTCGTGATTGTTTATGTTTTCGCTGGGCGTACTACATGCCGGGGACAAGGACTCCCCCCGCAGTCCACCGGGGAGATGTTGCCGCGTGTGGCTAGGACGCAATGGTGCCGCTTGTTTGCTCGAGGATTCTGGCTCTCTGCCTCGTGTTTCTGCGCGTTGACGAGATTGGCTGATCGTGCTCTCTGAATGGAGCTGTATTTCTCATTGCCAAAGTTATGCGACGATCTGCTTTGACACGGGGCGGCTAGTGAGTGCTGCTGCTCAAGGCGCACGGAAGGTTCAAGACGTTTCGCCGTAAGCAGACATGAGTATCGTCGCCATGGGCCATTGGTACGTCGTGCTACGCCGTTGGACAGCATTAAAAGCGGGAGAAGGGGTAGGAAGAGTGAAGCCTCGTAAAACTCTTGCTGCGGGCTGAGAGAGCCGTGCGACAGATTGAGCTTTCCTCTGTGAGGATGAAAATGTGTTGATTTCCCAAGCATATCGTGTTTGTCCGAAGTGCATCATAGGCACGTCGAAAAAATGTCTTGGAAGGGGTCCCTTGTTTCCTGACTGATAGGCACCAGGTACACACCATTGAATAGATTTTGTAAGCGGGTCGACCGTCCGTTCGGTGTTTGTTCGACACGATCACGCGAAACGCGAAGCTTGCCACTCTGCTTGTTCCGCTATCCACGCGACCCCATGATAAGCAGCGACAACAATAGAAACCCACGCGGCTCCGGGATCAGCCTCGACGCACACATCGACCTTTTTGAAGCCCTTGCTTGTTGTCATATGCGGTGTAGACTTCCTGTGCACCTCCTGTCTAAGGCTTGATTTTGTACTGGCTAGCTTGTGGCAGAGGATGTTCACGGTTTTCGGTTGTAAGAGCTCGGGGAAGATGCCGTACGGAATAGGGGCACTCTTTGTACGAGTAGTGGCGGTGTAGGGCAAAGTCCTCGTCCAGGTAGATGGAGCATCACATAGTGAGGGGGGGGGCTATACTCATAGTCGTGCATACCGTAGTCGTTAGACCATTGACCTCGCATCCCTACAAAGCCGGGACGGAGCACGCCGGGTTCTCACCGGGCTTGTTGGGGGGGGAGGGGGCAATGGACACAAAATGCAATCGAATAAATCGGGCCGAAGTAGTTTCAATAATAGGGACCTCCCGTGGAGGAAAAGCTACGAAAGTAAGGCTCGTGGAGTGCGTCGTTGTGCAATATCCACCGAAACCCTTGACATCCTACTTGTGTGCATGTCGGATGGTGAGTCGTGCATGCATACAAGAGGATATGCTACAGAAGAAGTACAAACGTAGCTCTTTGCAGTGTAGACATCATGGGCCTCTTTGGTGAGCGAGCTGAAACCTTCTAACGATACCGGGCGAGGTTGAAACAACTCGTACGCAGGAACCATCTTGCAGTTAAGCCCACCGGAAAAACTACCAACAACATTGAGGCCAATATCCTACCTATGATCATGCTTTAAGACATCCGAAAACATTGCGCTTGTCGACTCCATCCCTTGACGTGGATTCGGTCTGAACCAAGCTCAATCTAATTGTAGGCAACCTTCGTCATGAAATCTCGGACTTGGCTCTGCCTGGCTAAGAGGGAGTTGTGGCTGTTCCTTTCCGGCTTGATTCCAGAGCCCTTCAACGACAGCACGCCAAGAGAACACGAAGCGATGGGAAGGATTACGAATAACATCAGTTTCGTGGTGTACTGCTATAACATTTTTGAACAAGAGTGCTACCGTCGAGCTTTGTTCATGAATTGATGTCGATACAGAACGATAGTACAGGGTATGACTGCTCGAACCTTCTTCTTGCTGCCGATGAGCCCCCTGGCCGCGGCTATGTGACCGATCTGCCTCTTCCCGCGACGTGCCAAGGGTAGCGCCGTGTCGGGGTTGCCGGCTGGCTGAGGGTGGTTGTCCCTTGCGTCAACAATAACCACGCTGAAGAACATTCCCAAAGCATCCTGCTCCTCATCCGGCACGCTGTTCCTCTCTTTCACAGACTGTCGCCGAAAATGTAGAAAACAGCGGAGAGAGGAACGACTTGGTATAGATGCCTCAACATTCTCTGTGATAGCAGCGAGGTGCGAACGGAAAAGCTTGTGAGAACCAACCCCGAGAATTGTTTGTAGGAAAACTGCTAATACGTTGTAGATTCCCCGGATGGCCAATCCCTCGCGGGGTTAACACAAGAAGAGGGGCCGGTAAAAAAATATCAATGAAGCAACGTCAGAGCTACAACAACGTCTCTGCAGCCCTTCGCTATTGAGGGAAGGCCTTGGTGTCAGGTGCGCTGCGTTACATCAGGAAGCGGGGGGTCGTTTTTTCCAGGGCAGACACTGAGGGCCGTCGGGCAATGCAAACATGAAAACCCCCTAATGCTGTGGTCGGCTCTGTCGGGGGCAGTGCCCACGATTTTCCCTGACACTATGCATCAATGCATCGTTTTTTCCCCTGTGCTTGTGACACAAACCTCACTCTTGTTGTAGTAGTGTCTTGTGATGAGCTCGAATGCGTCCAGTGTGGTGGTAGTATTTCTCGCTTTGTCTAGATGACTTAGGAAGGAAAGCATCTCCAAGAAAACATGTTTGGCATGAACAAAGCATCATGCGAAGTGACTCTTGAGGAGGGTGGGTTCTAGAACGCAAGGAGTCCAAGGGAACATAAGTTTAATTTGTGGCCGTTGAGAAGTGATCAGTGATCAACGGGTGGTCCGTCGTGCGTGACGTCATGAGCACCAGATTGAAGACCTTATACGATAATCAAAAGTAGCACAGGCAGCTTCGACCTCCCCTCGTCCTTGTACTAGCTCGGCGACTTCATTGGTGAACTTGGTTTTTGGAATATGATATGCGATGCATGAGTTTGTAGGCGCTAGATGCGCGATGTACTCGTCGGGGCTAGACTGTCGTTGCTCACCTGACACTTGTCTTCCTTTTCTCTGCCGAGCGCATCTATTCGTCCTTCGCTGTGCACGTACACGTGGCTCACGCCTCGGCTGCAGTTCTCCTCCAGAGCCTTCGCCAGCACCCTAACGCCTTCCATGCTCATCTACCGACAACGGTTATACGCGGTGGGGTGCAGCCCACATGGTCAGGTCGGCTGAGGGAGTCTGGGGTCGTTGTTCTCCAGCATGCAAAGCAAATATGAAATAAGGTGATCCATCAACATTCAGAAGGATGGTTAGTTTTTGTTTTCACTGAACTTGAACATAAAAAGAGATGAAACCTTGGCTACATCGCGGAATGCTGACGGTGCTGTGAGTGTAATGGCGGTAGAAGAGCGCTTTCATCACCTCAGGTCAGGGAGAGTTTGGTAAAGTAGACATAGAAGGATCGTGCTTGGAGCTCGAGATGAACGGTGGATGACATCGTAGTAACGGGACCGTTCGGTACATCTTGTCGCACCACCATCACCTGATTGCATGTGAGGTCGAGTCTCCTCAAACCGCATGATGCCAGTCGCAGAACGGTAGCTAAGCTTGCCGCGCCGGCGTCGCCGATGTAGTTCATGCTGCGAATTTCAACCGTAATCAGCCATCAAAGCACCAGATGAGGCGATGTACGCGAACATTTGATTGATTACACTAGCTTTCCTCATAATAAATCGGATAGTGAGCGACAGGCCTTCAATCCGGTAAGTTGTGAAAGAGGTCAATAAACAAGGTAAATGACATAAAGTACAGTAGTTTCCTACAGTTCATCGCGCCTCAACAAAAAAAAAACTAGAATCAAACGTTTGTTGAACCAGCCTGTCGAATAATATGGCAGCCAAGCATATTCTCGCGTCTCCCCCGATACTGGTTGCTCGATTTTTGCTTGACCGCGATTTTCCACAACGCACACTCGGGTTGAGCATTCCACACACGTATGAATAGCTTGTCCAGGCCAAGCACACGCCGGCCTCGTGCACGCGGTGTTCGTCACCCGGTATGTCCCTCCGTGAGGTCACAGGCAGTGCCCCCATCAGCAAAGAAAGCGCTAAACTACCGTGCAACACGGTGGTGGTGGGCCTGTGCCCCACCTGAGATTGAGGACTTCCAGCCGGGGGCACGAACACGCGAGCTCCATCACGCCATGAACGTCGAAGTCGTCCAAGCCGCAATCCGATAGGTCCAGTTCGTTCAAAGCGTGCCTAGCTGGTTATGTTTGAAGCGCCAAACGAGATCCATGACGTCGGATGCATGTGTTCCCGACCGAAATTCACGTCGTGTTTCGCAACGGGAACGTCTAAGGTCGAAGTGTCACGGTCCGGTTGTTTCAACTTCGCATATTCAACTGCGCTCCGGATATTGAACATGCAGTACAGTACAGTCACTCTGATTGCGTAGTCTACACGAGATAGCGCAATAAGACATGTGCATGCCTTTGTGAGGAAGTGGGCATCGGGAACTCCAAAGTTGAACACGCAATTCCAGTACCTACCTGATGTGCCGTCGTCTCGGCCAGCTACCAGCCCGAACAGCGCCATGTGATTCGAGAGAAGTTGCCGCCTGCACCGCAAAGCGTCTCCCTTGATGCGTTGGGTAGAGGGCCCAATCGCCAAGGCTGCCCAAAGATAAACACCGGCCATCATCGCATTGAACCATCAACGTTCCAGCCGATGGCACGTGCACCGGTGAGGACACGTTGGTTCCGCGGGACGGGTTATTTTTTCAGCCACACTGGAAAAATTTAAATGACACCCCATCTGACTTTCAGGCGTGCTCTTTGTGGCGCGTTCTCTCGAATCCTCCTCCGCGTTGTAAATGAGCAAGATTCAAGGTGTGGCCGAAAGTGGGTACACCTGTTGCGCGTACCCCACTTCTTCCGGGCTCCTGTTAGTCGCCTCTTCAGGAAAAAAAAATGCCGGTTACCCGCGTCGGGCTTGTCGTTCGCCGAGTGGTGAAGAAGTTAACCTCTTGGTGAGTGGAGCAACGGAACTATGTGAATACCGGCCATGGGGGTGTGCGATGACTCGAACGTAACGGGTAAATGTCTGCCCTCGGTTCACAACCAAGCCTGGATTGCCTTACCCCGAAACTTACAATGGCAGGCGAAAACCAAACCTGCCCTGTACGTCGGTTTGAGGAGAGGTTTGGCGTTGCTTTGCCGAAAGATCTGACGGGCAGACATAAAGAGGCACAAACCTTCGTCATGCGGAAGATTGCCACCCCCGTTTGCGGCAGGGAGCGGAGGCTTGGTCATCTGGCTGTTGAACTTGTCCAGCGCTGCGTACAGGCGTTTATGCGTCGTCTCCACGGTTAGGGAAGACTTCAAGCGGACAACCTGAGTCACAGTGCGGACGGCAACAGCAGCGAAGCGTACGGATATGTTTGCCAAGATGGCGAGAACCCCGCGCACCAGGAATATGTACCATTCAGGACCAAATGCTGGAGTGTGGACATGTCGCCTAGGGGTGTTCACATCGGAAGCCGTTCTCCTACTGTAGATCATGTCGACGTTTGTTTTCGGGAGCTTGCACAGAGAAAATGCAGCAACTGTCATAAGCGCGTTACTCGAAATGAACGAGCGTTCAATTCGAGATCTGACTTGCTTTCAAAGCAAAATATAAATCAATTCGAAATTGTTTCCTTTGGTAAACAACACTCACCCACAAATTCCGGAACATCAAAATTGAAGGACGGTTCGTGCATAGAAAACCGCTAACGACAGAAGAACGCCGCCGTGAAAAGGCTTTTCACTAACGCAGTAGTGAAGCCTAGTACGGAATACCCGCACGCAGGAATATCCCCACCTTCTGCTGAAACCGAACTTCTCGCTTTCTAGCTTCCTCAATCTGGTCTCCCAGGCGAGCTTCCTCAGCCTCATGCTTCACCACCTGAGCAACCGTGCATCATCGCCATTCAAAGAACGGCCATGTTACACACTTGACGGGATTAAGCAAATGCACAATCCTATTAGGTGTCCGTGTTTGCTATGATATAAAGCTACATAAGACGGGCGACTAATGCCGTAAACGGAGAATGCTGCTGCAAACCCTGCCAAACGGTTTTTGTGAGCACCACCAATTCCTGGAACTGCGCGCAGCGGACACGAGGCTATAGTCCATCAGATCACTGGTGGTATATTGATCCCGACAATACCATCCCCCTCACCTGAGCCTTCAGATCCTTGTGACGCTCAACCAGCCTCAGTATCGTCCGGCTCATGCTCGCCACCTTGTTGTGGAGGCTTTCGCTCAGGGAAATCTCCTTCTCGAGCCTGCCTTCCACAAACCGCGGGTTTTGAGAGCCAGAGGAAGTACATGTAGCGTTCCAGGCGAAGTGAGGCTGAGTTATTGTGGCGGCGACCAAATATTTGGCCCCTGGATCACACGAATCACGATTGATTGTGTCAACCGCGTGCAATTCATGGTGGACTCTGCTCCGTTTGAGTCGTGGCAGACCACTGTAGTCGGACGTGACCAGGGTCTACACTCACGGTAGTAACGGCGCTATAATGCTTTGCGAGGAAATGTCAAATCAGTTCGACATTGTCTTCAGACACGTCCGGAACGTATCACATTCTAGAGCAGAATCAATCAAGACATGCAACATAACCTACGTTAAGTGACCTGTAAGGACCAGGCCAATGTTTAGGCAGCAAGTGATTCAGTATCACGAGTGTCATGGGGAAATCTAGTACCTTCCATGCAGAGTACACAAGGCTTTGAACGAAACCGAGAATGACGTCGAGGTAACAACGTCATCGACAACGACGACGACGAGGAAGAGGAGGACAGACTTCGACTTTCTGTGTGAGTAGTACCCCAAGTCGGATCAAGTTTCACAGTCGGTCTTGAAAAATGTGGTATCGAGCTAGCTTGGAAACGAAGAGAGAGATATGTCTACCATGTAAGCTAGCCCTACCAAGAATTATATATAGTGCGGGACCATTGACGATACAAGACGCAAACCCACCTTGCTTGTGCTAGTCGGGAGTCTTCATCCGCCGCTGCTTCTCGCTCTGAGGAGGTCCTCTCCATTGAATTCAAATCACTCTGGAAGGCATCATGGGGACCAAACAAGCCGGTTGATACGGAACTCCGACGGTGGTTGTACATAGGGAGTGGTATCTTGGCGCGATGCCGTCGTCCATAACCTCTTTTGAGGGAAATCGTAACATCTCTCTACCAACTGTTGCACACGAAATAATATGTGATTGTTGGAAACATAGGGATGTGGAAGCCGGTTTCGAGTTCTCGTGCCTGCATTTGTTGTCGTCATTGGACCTCCCATCACAAAAAATCGACTCAAGTGAATAGATGTTGCTGTTTCGACCCAACCAAACAAGTCTTGGTTGGTACGAAGTTCATAGGCTTCGTTCCCAACGAATGGTCCTGGCTCATACACCGCAACATCACGAATGAACAAGAACAACACCGCCCGTACCCTCTCCCGCCTCTTTGCAAGAAAACCACAATTGCTCTTGATTCTCAAAGCCCGTCACCTGAAGGGTGCCAAGCCTCATCTCCAGCTCGGCGTTCTGCTGCCGGCACACCGCAAGCTCGTCGCCCTTCGTCTCCGCCTGGTCTTTGTATCGCTGCAGCTCGTCTCTAGACTCCTGGACAGTCCACAACCACACCATTAGCGCACCGTCCCACAAAGAAACAACAAACTCTAGCACAGCAGCACTCGGTCAGGGTTGAAGCCAAGGGCGATCGTGCTGAACAGCGGGGATAAAACTACATTTGTCACCTCTACCAATCAGTACGCAGCGTTGGCTTAGGTTCCACCTGAAGCTCGCTGATGACCCTGTACTGGCTCTGGCGCAGGGTGCTGAGAGCTGTCTCGGCGGTTTCTTTGTCGAACTTGGCTTGTTTTCGGGCGGACTCGAGCTCTTTCGTAAGCGTCTCGATCTTCTCGTCAGTGCTGGAATACCTGCCACGAACAAACGAGCGTGTCCGTTTCCGGCGACGGCTATCAGTACAAGGGCGATGGTAGTCTTGCGGTGTTTGACAGCAGAAGTAGTGGTGTATCATGCGGTACTGCTACCTGAGGAATGGTCCTGTGTAAAGGCACCAGCAACGTGAAACGACGGGGGCAACTTTTGGCTCACTTCTCCTTGAGAGCCAAGTTTTCCCCGATAGCTTTGATGAGTTTGACCTCCAACCCGCTGGTGCGCTTGGCGTGTTGCTCGTCACTGGTCCTCACCCGATGTTTGAGCTCGCTCACCTTCGTCAACCAGAACAACAAGTGGAGACTATGGTCTGCACCGGATAAGCACGGCTGTTATCGCCCATAAAGAAGGGCCAGTTGTTCCATGGGTGTTTGTTGGCATACTTGCTGTTTCTTAAGTGTTTTCCTGCGGATATTAAGTGAGTGTCAGTTCGACACGGCCGTTGTTGTTGCCGCTTCCCCGTACGGGAAGGACTTCTATGGTACACCCTCGGCAAGAGTTCTCGATGGACCGAAACTAGAACAGTACTGAGACTCCCACGGACTGAAAAACACAGCTCCTCGACAGCGAAACTTTTCAACCTAGTATTTTGGCGCCATTTTAGTGGCAGAGCACGATGACTCAATCAAGGCACCGTATAGTTCTACAGAACAGCTGATTCACCAAATATCCAGCGATCGACGAGCTTTCGCAAAGAGATTCGAATTGATGCAAGAGGACCACGATGTACAGATGGGATGGATACCCACTCAAGGGCATGTCCTCGGGGCGAATGTAGCGTACGACGCCGAGCTTTGAGCCTTAGCGCCTCACATAATTTTGACGAGTTCCATACAAACACCAAAGCAAGCATCGACAGACACTGCTGTGCTCACTCTTCCGGTCGTGCGCTACATACCTCGGCCAGGGCTTCATCCCGCTCTGTGAGAACGCTCTCGCGCTTCAGTTCTTCCTGCTCCAGCAACTGGAGGCGGATACGACGGGTGAAACGATGAGCAGGGGCGTTTCCTGCGTACACCATGGGGTTAGTACCGACGGGATCTAAACCATACGTCGTATGTAGCACTCGCTACGCCCACACTCTAATATAATGGCTTCCAGAGAGACTACGAAGGTAGCTCGACTGGTGAGGGTGAGTAGGGCTAATGTTTACTGTGTCTGCAAAACGCAATTCGAGTGGTGGTTGTCGTACTGTAGTGCGGATTTTCTAGACGTTATGTTGTCCATGCACACAACCTTGAGCAGCCTCGAGTTCTGTGTTGCCGCCACGATCATGGCGTTCTCTTGACCCTGGCGCTCCTCTCGTTCCACCTGCACAAATTTCCGTGGCAGATCAATCGACGCCCGTAGTCGGGCGGGGGTTGTTGAAAGGGTCAGTACCACGCGCGCACGCGAAGACGTAGCACCCACCGCGGCCACGCTCCATTTGTCGTGCTTGGTGGACCGAAAGAATTCAAAAAGCCCCCAAGACATGAAGACTCTTGTATTCTAGCTCAGGCTGCCTCAGAACATCCAGGAAGCGGTCAAAACTTGAAGCTCTCTGTGAGTTCAGTGGTACGCTAGAACTCCTAGCAGTGCGCCATAGTCTAGAGGCTGAGAGTCTGCAAAACGTACATGAAGTCGCTTGATTTCTCGACGGAGGCGATCGCTCTCGCGTTTATGCTTCTGGACGGCGTTGTCCTTAGTCTCGATCACTCCGTGTAGGGATCCCATTTCCTTTTCGACGGAGTCGATGCCTTCGCGAAGACCCTGATTTTGCCGAGATAGTAGCAGCACCTGGGCATCAACGTACGGGAGGAACGTTTCATAATGTATCGTACGTTGTACGGGGTACACCTTTTCGGATGAACCTTTTTGGGCAGTCACGTTCTTTCGTCCGTTCAAAACTGGTTAAATCTGAGTGAGAGACAAGTTTCATGGCAGTTGAAGATTGTTCAACCGATCGCCGTAAACCTGTCTGGGGTGTTGATGCCGCAGGCAGACTACCCTTTATTTTGCTCGCCTCTTGGTGCTTGGCGCTGATCATCCCATCGCGCAGCTTAATAAGATGCAGAGTCTCTTCCTTCGTGCGAGGAGCAGGGTCGACAGGCTTGTTTCGTCCGTTTTTCGTTTTGCCTTTCCGCCCCCTTTTTGTTCTGCTGGTTGTGGTTGCGCTCCTTACCCCGGAGCTCCTCGCAGAGATAGACGTACTGAGCGCAGAGTTCTCTGGCGAGGCATGCAGAGAAGTGAAAAAGTGGGGCATAAAAGGGCGCATCGCAGGGTCAAGGCCTATTTTTGTCTGCGTGTGGTGTTTGCGTCTCCTTCAGGAAATATTGCGCGGACTTGCTGATTCTTCATATATACAAGACGTTAGTATCTGACACGAGCCTGCTTTGCGGGTCTTTTCCCGCGCTTCCTTCATTGCCGTGCTAGACTTGTTTCCCTCTAGACTATTCCATTGTGGTCGTGATCCCCTTCATTCCCGTAGCTCGTTGTCTCTAAACTCCCTCCGCGATGCCTCTCAAACGAATAGACCCGACCCGCTGTGACGAATAGAACTCCCGCAGGGTGCGTTTTTGTTACACGCATCGACCGCGCTAACCGTTTGACCAATGAAAAGACGTCAGTCTCAGTGCGGTTGAAAACACAAAACACTCCTAAATGCCATGAACTAGGACCCCGTGAGGGGGCGGCATGGGGGAGGCTAAGCTATTCTCCAGAAACGCTAGCAACAGAAGAGAACTGCACGTGTCTACCAAGGCTGGTACCTTGCACTCGAGTTCGTTTTTGGAGTGCGTTCACCGTCGTCCTCATTGCTTTCACTATAATCACTCTCATCACCATTTTTACTGCTAATTTCGGCAGTTCTTCTCTAGCCCTGCGTCGTTTGTCGTGGGGAAGTTCATCTGGCTCGAAGCTCTTACTCTCTTCTCTTCCACTCCATGCTCCCCTCCTCCATTGCTATTTTGGTTATTATCTTGTCCTCCTGTTCGTGTTCCAGTTCCTCATCCTCCATCGCTACCAAATGAATTCCGCACCACATTACAAGTTGCACTAAGATCCCAACCTATTGGCCGTGGTGGAAATTGGTCGATCAGTACATATGTAGTCCATGACGTTTGAAAATGTCATGAGTTCGAACCGACAGAAAACGAGCCAACTCGAAGATAAAACCGTCTCCGAACCTGTTGGTGCGAGAAACCTTCAGACGAAGCAAGGCTGTTTCCGGGTGTGTGTAAATCCCATCTATTATGGGTTACATGAGGTAACTAAATAGTTTTATATACAGGACAACTACTGTAATATTTCAGTACCAGGTTGTACATACGGAGTATTTTCTGAGAACCCAGACAAGTCACACAAACGGCAATGGGTTTTTATTGCGAGACATTGGGAAGAAAGTCAACACCAACGAAAATCCGAGAACAGGTCGTTGTGAAACCCACCTGTTACTAACGGGCTGAATCGTGTGGTGGTGCTGCTGCTGTCGGAGTCGCATGTCCTTATTATGCTCGCGCTGTCATCGGTCACACTCCCAATGCTCTCTTCAAGGCTGTCTTCTTCCTGCCCCGATCCACTGGCCGTTGGACTGGCATCAAGTTCAGCCATGGAGCTGTGTTGTCGACCTGGCAAAACCCTATGTATCGCGCCCAGGACAGTGGTGGTGTATACAGCAGTCCGAGAGAGCAGGGGAGAGCAAGTTATTCTGCTACTGCAGGCGTCGGAACACGTTCGAGCTTGAACTGCAAAACTTGAGCAACAGCCAGCGAGGACGTGTTGAGGAGCGCTGTCTACAGGTTTCCTGCAAACCGGAAGAGTTGTCTGGCCTTTGATGGACAAGTTGGTGGCTAGAAGGCAGACGACACCAACGGTCGTTGTATGTGTACATGTGGCGGGGGTTACTATTAGCCCGCTTCCGCCGAACTGTAAGAGTGAGCCTTCACTTGTACGAACTCCAAGTATAGTCTACTTACTACCTTAACAGAACCGTGAGATGATATTTCTCGGCATCCTGCTCTCTACGCTTTGACTTTGCACCTCTGTTGACGATAGTCTCCTTATGCCTTCTGCCCCTCCCTTCTATCTTTTTACACGATGCGCGGCAACACCACATGCGCAACTTGTGCCCTTGTTTCATGTGTTTCCCGTCTCATTTCGTGGCCGCGTCTGTACTCGGAAGTCGAAGAGCAATAAAAAAACTCGGTTACACACACGCCTTTGTTTCAACTAACAAACTCCTTCACTTTGCAGTTTGCGTGGCCCCTTTCAAGCCTGCCGACCAGCCGACCAGCCGAAGACATCATCATCCCACGCACCGGCACTGCAGCTGTGCTACCCGCCGTCTAGCGAAATAGAGAATCATGTCAGCCTCGTTGCAAAGGTCCTCCGCGCTGCTGCGACCTGTGGTTACTGCCCACGTCAGGCGACTCCATTCATCAGGTAGGCAACAGCTTGATGTGGTTGGTACATCGATTGCAGCAGCGGAGGATAGTCCGCTGCCAAGAACCAAGAAGCACCGGTGAAGTTCGCCATCACATTTTAGGACACGCCGTGACGGCACCTGTCACCTTGAGCCCCAACACCTTGCGTTCCCCTTAGTACAGGATTGCAACGGCAAGGGTGGTAGTGGTGCCGCTTTCTCGTGAACACTGCCTTCTAGAGTTGAACGTCCGACACCGGGCAAGAAGTGCAACTACCCGCAGCACCGCAGCAGCCCATCGACCCCTTGCTTGCAGCGTGCCGTATGTACTAAAATGCACATCGACCGTCGCTGCTGTGTACCGCAACATGCAGTCAACAGCTAGTCTATTGATCTAGCAGGATCGATGTAGATGAGAGCTGCCTCCTGATGGTTGTGGGGGCATTTCCACACAACTGCATATTCACCGGTATGGTTGGTATCAGCACTGGACACGACCACGCCTTGGATTTTGGACCGCTAACGTCTTGCGATATCGGTTCGACATTTCGACAACCGGATACGTTGCATCCGGTGATGTCGCATGATGTCGTCGAAACGGTATTCATTGTACTGGGGAATGATTCGAGACATCGGGAGATATCGCGAAACGATGTCCTTCGGGTGTGCTCTGCTGTTTTTTTCGCACCAAAGCGAAAAGCACGTCCATGCTTCGATAGAAGAACAGGACAGATTCGCGCTGCATACTTGTATGCATTGTACGTGAGGGCCAAAGGCGAAACCCCTCTCTGCTTGTGAAGACGAAGACGAAGATCCGCTCGTTTTGGCTGCGAAAGCTGCGCCTTCGTAGCGCACGCCAAACGCAAAGAAGGAAAAACCTAGTTGACCACTGATGCTGTTTTTCTATCATTCTTTGTTTGCGCCATTCGTCGCCCACGCTACACGTGTCTCCTGGGCAGTGCCAAAGACATCTTCTGCCCCTGGGAGCGCAAGCGTACTCAACGGTAAGCATGGCGCAGAGTGCTATTTGACAAATAGACTTTTCGTAGCGCGTCGCGAGACCGTGCTCCGCTTAGCTTTTGACGGCGATTGAATTCGTACTCTCGGTTGTTAGACGTGTGCGGCCACATGCTGGATGTGTGTCCGTCTGCAGCCTTTCAGCGATTTGCTATGATCATATGCGGATCGCCGAGAAATGTTGCTGCTTTGTCGGCGTATGGGCGTGGCTGGAGTTTTGTGATTGCGCGTCATCACTTTTTTCGACGCGTCCAGCAGTCTCCGCTCATAACTGGTTCTAGGGGTCAAGATACCCCGGCAGCAAGGATATGAACGACATGACAGGTGCTGTCGTTGTAGCTGCAACGCATCATCTCCTCACCGATACCTCTTCCTCCTTAATCGCTCGTTCCGAATCTCATTTTTTGCCTGGCCTGACCTGACCTGATGTGGATGTTGCTTCTGGGCGCTGCAGCCGATGATGGGAAGCTGGGCACGAAGCTGTACCATGCCGTGAACATGGTGGTTCTAGCCGGAGTGCCTGCGGCCGTGGCCACGAGCCCATCCGCCCTTACCATGCCTCTAGACATCGTGCTCGGGATCGCCATGCCCCTGCACGCACATATCGGCATGAACTACGGTGAGCTGCCCTCTCTCTTCAAGAAGACTTGGGGGGGGGGGGGGGGGGGTGATTTAATACGGTGAACTGCCCTTTCTCTTTCAAGAAGGCTTGGGGTATGTATGTGTTTGCATACGGAAAGCTTCCCTTTCTCTTCAAGAACGCTTGGAGTGTGTGTCAGAGTGATGTGGTATTATGTTTGTACCCAAGTTGGCCTTGCTCTCTCTGAGATCTCTGGCGCCTCTGGCTGCAGCACCGCACGATTCCGGCGCGACCCTGACGATAGCTGATGCCGTGGCGTTAACACGAGGCTCGAGCACGTCGGTTTAGCTCCCAGCGCTTCAACTCTGATCAACAAACACAACGGTGCCTGTTATGGTAAGCAACGTTGCCTGGAACGATAAGGCTGTTGCGTCTGCTGGCGTGTTACGGACATGGTCCCGTCTACGTAACGCCGGTAAACGCTGAACGCCTCACGTCAGTTCCTCCGGGAGAGTTGTATGTACCTTTAGCTTGCCTGCGTTTCGTGTTGAACGAGATGCAGCGAAATTATGCGATAAACCCGGGCTGCTCTTCGTTTTTGAGAAGCGGAGACATGAAATCTTTCACGGGTCTCCCCTCAGCACATGCTCTTCATTTTCGTTTGGTGCAATCCGTAAATACTTTCCGGCATGTCGATTTTTTATTCCGGTTGGGCCTTGATTTATTTCCTGCTCGTACTGGCGATGTTGTTCGCTGTGCTTTCGTGACTGTCGTCCCATCTCTTTTCGGTCTTTCAGTTATCAGCGACTACGTACCGAAGTCAGCTCGGGGGGGCGCGAGGGGTGCCATGCTTGCGGCATCGGTACTAGCTACCCTTGGGCTTTTGAAGGTAAGGCCCAGGGTCTTGCGTCATTCAATGGTTACCGGTTTGTATATTTTCAGGGTCGACTTGTTAGCGGTGCTTGTCGCGGTTGAAGACACGGTGGTCACATAAGATCATTTCTTCGGTGGGGTGTACAGTACATGACTTTGGGTATGTATGCGTTTGGTGGAGGTCTTACGTTGAAGCCTTGTTCATCCCCTGCCGAAGTACTGTGGTGTTTGAAGCGCGTTGCGAAATCGCGTGCAGCGGAGGGAAAAAATAGATGAAAATACAATTGGAAAATATACCCGGGTATTTTCCTTATCCCGCCACGTCCCCGTCTGTTGCAGCTCAACCTTACTGGTGCTGGCCTCACGGAGACACTCAAGGCCACTTGGAGGGGGCCCAAGCCGAAAGAGGAGGGCGCAAAATAGACACACACACAATGGAAGACACAACAGGGGCTCCGTTCAGCCACGAAAGAGCTCACTTGAAAGCTGTCAATGCCGGAGGCCTGTCATCACACGGCACGTGTGCGTTGGCCTTTGCTGCAGGTCGGCAATACCAAACCGGGCGCTGTTGTGCAAAGCTGTGGGAGAGTGTATAGGCCACGCAACAGCACTGTAAATATAGGCGTCGGTAGTTTCTGGTAGCTCGACAAACCCGAACATTTCATGTTGTTTGACGAGGCAGGTTGTCCGCTGGAAGCCGTCGCCATTCCTACTTCTGCCGATGCAGAAGGGAGGTACGTTTTTGGTTCTTGCTCGCTGTCGCTTTCAGTATTGTCGATTTGCGTTTGGAGGCGCAGCTCGCTGCTGATTGTCGGAGTGGGTGTCTCAATCAAGTCTTTGGTGTGTGCCGCGAGTGTTCCATTTCGGCGCTAGGGTTATTTAAGTTGTGCCCTCTTGCAGCTCAGGGGGCCGCCGGCGCAGAGAGCACCTTGCTGTGGACACACTCTCATTGTGTAAAAGATACACTAAATCGTTTCCCATGCATCAGTTTCGCGCGTGCAACGCGGCGAAGCCGTTGTCAACGGGGATCAGGTGGGCTCAGTTTCTAGCCCGGAAGGAGATCATGGGCTGAGAAGCGAAGTTGACTCAAGCCGCGTCTTATTACCGTCAAAAGAGAATACTCTGGGAAAAGCACCGAATGGCGGCGCGTCGTCAGTCTGTTCCAGAGCCCGGTGGATCAGCGTCCCAAGACATCAAATGCTGCCATGCCGCGCTACATACTAGATTGCCATGGCTTTGATGTACGTCAATTTTTCGCGAAAAGGAAGCAGCACAAACTTACCTATATCGTCAAAAACTGCAGTGCTCGAAAAGCGTACCACACATGATCAGCCGAATCTCTGGCTCTCACCAGCATTACACATACTGTATACTGTAGGGGTCTAACAAGAAATACCTCAATTGCTCGCGCGAAGCGCGAAAAAGTAGGGGCGGCGAGAATGCATTTTATTATGGAGCACACACTACTAATGTAGTAGCGGCTTAGAGCTCAAGAGAGGCGTGTTTTGGTGGATACTCCGTTGAAGGGAGCTGTTTTGGCTAGATGCTGACCGTTCCACATCTTGTTCAAGGCAGGCATCGTTCGCAATGTGGAGGCGGGGTGATGTCGATGTCCTCGGACTACCTTTTCCCGCCGGTGCTAAATGATGGCAGCCGTGGGCCCTCGAAGCTTACGGCGACCCAGATGAGGTCGTCCTTAAAGGCGCACTTGCAGGCGGCCGACCTGCCTACCCATTTCCCATGCATTATTTTAGAGTGCGCGGTTCGTTGAGCAGGTCCGTCCATGGACGGCTCCACCATGAGGGAGAGGAGTCCGTGCAGATGGAAGGTTGAAGAACGGAGTTGATGGCCAAGTACTACTTTTAGCCTTCCAAACGGCAGCGGGCGGCCAGCCGTGCGGTCACACCAAGCGATTCTCTCATCAGCTGCTGCTGCTGCTGTAGGGAAAAATTGGAGAGACTGCGCGCACATGGGTGTGGACTTGCTTCCCTCGCTTTTACGCCGCAAGCAGTGTACAACGGGCCATGATAATCGAAATATCGCGCCTCCTATGATGTACAGCAGTAGTATTATTCCTTTGGCCGATTTCTGACGCCAGAGTCAAACAGGGAAAATGCATGGTGCATTTTGCAAAGATGTAGATGGACCAAATCCAGGTGATCAGCAGGAAAAACGCAACAACCTTTGCACACAAGCCGTGAAGAAGTTTAAGTAAGGCAGCGACAGACAACGTTTGTTTGTCTGTCTCGAGACGAAATCGAGGGAACTCGGAACGCAAGTACGACAACAAGAGATTGTATACTGCTGCGAGAAGCTTGAAATTGCTTGTGCTTTTCGGATACTTAAGCAGGTGCCATTTGGGTGCTGCAGGGGGGGGGGGGGGCGGGAGAGAGAGAAGTACATAATATCCAGCGTTGGGTCCCGGGATCCCGGGATCCTCTACGAGCGCGTCTCCGAAGTCTCCGAAGATGGGGGTTGTTGACCAGGAATATAACGGTACCAGGGGTCGCATATCCACTCCATGTGCCCCCCCCAACCATGCTTGATGGTTCTGGGTGGGTGTGTCGTGCGCCTGTCTGTCGGCGTCTCTCTGCTGTGTCCTCTGCTCCCACTTCCAACACACACAGCTGTGGAGTTGAATCACGCATCGGGAGCAAGGTGACCTTCTTTGGCGATCCGAGGCAGCCTCGGGTGAGCCAAAGAGCTTTGAATGTTGGAACATATTGCGGGCTTTTTATCCGCCCATGACCTTTTGCACGGGCAAAGGTGCCGGTGGCTACTTGTCGCTTTAGAGGCCCGCCTGCTGGGTGTGTGCCTGGTGCCCTGATGTGCGTTATGACGCACCTCGGGCTGCGAGGAGTTGTTCGTGGCTGGACCCTTTCGGAATTCTGCGCGGTGAATCTGTTGATCTGTTTGGTCGATCGTGCTGCTGCTGGTGCTTCATTGCTCCGTCTTGTTACCAAATCCGCCTGCCACTGCTGCACGACTGCTGTTGTACGACGCCGCCGTTGGTATACCCCCCTATCCCGAAGTGACATGCCACCGGTCGTCAACGGTAGCTACACATTGAGATCGATATGCTCGCGGCGCTAGTTCTGCTCGGCGTGGTGGGGGCGTGTGCTGGGCTCGGTTTCCTCTCCCAGGTGAGAGAGAGACGCTTTCAAGCAAGCTGCTGGTGCCGTTGGCTGCTCATATTATGTGGGACCTGCTTCACTAGCCCTCTCGTACCACAACAATAAATGATCCCTTTCACCAGACCTTTTGTGCCCATATTGGCGTGTGCTGTTGCATTGTGGCAGCGTGCGAAGCTTGAGCATGGCAGGGTGGGTTACGGCGTAGTGTTTCATCATGCGGTATCAAACCGCATGGGGACTCCCTGCCTGCCATATTTATATATATATCGCTCAAAAGGTAAAAGGTATGCATCACGATCACCGTGGCGGGACTTTCGGGGCAAGTGGTACGCAGAACAGCACAAAACCGTTAGATGTATTGCATGCCGATGAGCCGGACGCCCGCACACCAATTAAAGAAACTCTCAAGATGACACACCCCGGGCTTCCGCGCGTGCGAGGGCTTCCGCGCGTGCTTCTAGCGTGGTAGCGTGAGCTAGCTGTGCGTTCTACTGCAATGTATCTTGATATTGCTCTCTTTTGGTCACGGAGATTCTTGATTGTAGGAAGTGGATGATTCATATCCAACTTTTTTTTTTTTTTATCGCACTTTGTGACGAAACTCCCGCAGCAGGGGAGGCATCGCGTGTTTTTTATGCTGCTTTGGGGAGTCGTAGAAACAAAAATACTGCTGTAGTGCTCCGCTAACGCTATGAACCCATAGCTAATTTATCCTACTGATTTTGACCCAATCCCTAGCTGTGTTATTTTGAATTTTGAAGAAGCAAACAAGAGAAATCGCTCTTTTCCTCGAAAATTCAGGAACATGTAGAATGTCTGAGGGCGCAGGCTTTCGAGGCGAAGCGGTGGGTCTTGCAAAAATTGGACGTGCTCGGCCAGCCACCCGACGGAGACTCGGACTGCGACGGGGATATAGAGGCCGGGTGAGCCGGCGCACTCCGTATGCATATTTGTAGAATTGATCGTTTTTTTCAGGGTTTACTCTGTATTTTTAGAAACCGCCGTCAAATTTCCGCCGTGGTGGGCGGTACCGGTATACGGCCGTTTTACCGCCGTTTTTTGGTTTTACCGCCACCGCCAAAGTCGTACCCGCCAACGAAGGCATTACCGCCTACTGCCAAAACGAATACCGCCAATTGGCACTACCGCCGAAGACGTGTTCGCCTACAAAACAGATACCGAGCAAACCCTTCTTTTTTTTTCGTAATAATTGTTTTGTCCAAAGTCAACGCAAGCCTCTAATCTGGTGTCGTTGAGGTCAAGTACCTGGCTTCCTTGGAAACGTCGCACAACTTTCAATACGCTTTCGAATGCGACCCGCAGTGTCCCAGCTTTTTGCTGCTGTTTCAAGTATGTCACCACCCGATGATGTCGCTCGTGCACGTGCGGGAAACACATTCTCAAGTGGAAACATGCTACGGACAAGAGGGTTGCCGGTTGGCCCCTTGTCTTAGGCCAGCCTCGTATTTTCGCTGTGTTGCCCGGTTGGCGATCGACCTCGTCCTGCCCCATGGGTGGCCTCCAGGGCCGCCTGTATGTATCTGTATCGATGGGTGGCATGGCCGTTGCTGCCACTCGTTTGGGCCACCGCTGCTTATCTGGCCATGTGCTTCCTGCTAAGATTTTGTCTCCTACTATCGTCGTACGCCCCCAGGTTTGGGGAGGTGCGGGAAGCTTTAGTAGACAACGGGAAGCGGGCTGCGTCGGTGCAACAATCCAAGCCGGTGCGACCGATCCGACGAAGGTGATTTTTGTGCGAGCGAAAACGATTTTCTTCCAGTAGCCGCACTGCCACCGCCGTGCTACGCTGTTGCAATGTCGCCGCAGCAGTAGGAGGCGGGAGCAGGGTTGGGAAAGAACTTTCTTTGTAGCTGTTGTTGCATCGAGGCAAGTGATAGAAGAGTCACCCCGGCGGCGGCTATTTCAGCGTTTCCGCCGCTGGCACTCTCGATCGATTGAACGTGCACGTGGCAAGACGCGATGTCATGCTGTCTGAAACGTTTTATGATCTGATCTAGCATACGTTCGGCGTCACACCCTCCGGTGTACAGGTCATGCCCTGCACCAGCAGAAGTTCCCGCAACATCTGTTAACTGTTTGAACGCTTAAAACGCCATCGTGAAAACGGCTTGCCCTACAACGGACCAATTGAACTAAAACGCACGTTGTTAGCTAGTGATCAGAAGCGAGGGGCCTCGTCGGACAGACTCGCAGAGGCGAACGCGTAGGATGAGTGCAGGTGTGCTTGGTGGCTTATGGCAAGAAAGTAGTGATCCGCGCTGAACACCATCTATCCTACACCCCCTCTACTTTGTGTATCGGTTCCGGCACCGTTCTCTCCCGAGTACTGCATTGTTGCGTTACTACTAGTACTACGGCCACACCTGCATACAAGGCCGAGTATCTGCCGCAAGAGAACGTTGCTCGCCAAACGAGAACGCCGGGCTTGGCACTCTTTTCCCGGCTTCCCCGTCAACCATGGTTATTCTTTTGTTTTTTTTGGCGATCGATGCCGCCCACGAATAGAACAACTCCCCCCCCCTACCCCCCCCCCCCCGCGCCGATTTTCTTTGTAACGTCGCGACTTCTGCTGTGTTGCAGCGTACATCGCGGTCAAGCCGGCGGGACGTCGAATTGCGTGTCTAGCGGCCCTTCGTCGGAGTATGAAGGCTTGTTCGACTGCGCGACGGACCAGCAGGAGCAGCTGCCGCAGCTGCCGAGACCCAAGCTTGCCACGGCGATGAGCTCGGGATCAAGACCGGGGGAGGGCAAGGTACCGAAACGTTTGAGGGAAACTATAATCACAGCACTACTAATAGACAACATTATATATTTTACACAAGGCGTGATGCAAGATGTTAAGTAGTTTGGTGGTAATCAGCTGCCAGCTGGCATCAACTACGTTTGGCATCAGCTACGTTTGCCAAGCTCGAACAGGCTACGCAACTGACATTTTTATTTTGCTCGAAGAGCCCAGCGAACCTGAACGAACCAAAAAGAAGTAACGACAAATCTGTCATGCATATACAGTCATGGGCAAGGGCAAGTGTCAACGGCGGCCTCTGATTCCGTTCGGTGCACCCGTTCGTTTCGAACGCCTGTTTTATTCGCTTTTAGCATTTCGTGGGTCAGCTTTGTCCCGGGACGCGCGTTTTCTTTCCTCCCCATTTTCTGCAGCGTGATACCTTACTGCCCCGAGCAATAAAACAATTTTGAGGGATGTGACCAAAATATATATCCCCATGAATTTCTTTCACCTAGGTGAAACTCTGCCCTCGGTAGTGTTCCGAGGCGTCCATGATTGAGTAACGCATTGAGTGACGCATGCACGCACATCTTGAAGAACGATCCGAAGCCGACGTTCGTGCTGAAGCTAAATATGGACAAGTGCGGGGAAAACGGGTGCGACATGTAGCCATGGTGGAGGTACATGCCAGCCGAGGCAACACGACTCTAGTGCTCGCGGCGGTGCTTTTTAACGCGGCAGAATCGTACAAGCACTATAAATACGGCGGTGCTTGCGTATGAGATTACCACAGGGTGTTCAAGTTGCACTCGAGGCCAAGCTTGCATCTCCCCAGCACACCTTTGTACGTTGCTGCCGCGCTTGCCGCTCCCGACTCACAACAGCTTACCTCGGCTCCCTCTCGAGAAGTCACACGCCAGTCCAGCGGTCAGCCGGCCACAGCGGAGGTCGATTACGCCCTCCAGCGATGATGCTCACCCACTACGGTTGCTGCAATCCGTGGCAACCTGAAGCCCTCCCGGTTGCATTTTTGCCGACGTCCCCCCGCCCCCCCCTGTCCCCGCCACCACAACAGGTCCCGCCGCTGATTCCTCACCACGCGCAGAGGAGAGGGATGAGCTTCGACGCCAACGCCTCCGGGAGCAGGGAACACCACCACAACGACACCGGCAGCGCCCGGGGCAGCTTCGCGCTCCCGCGCACCCCCGCCGCCGTCTTGCCGGAGGCTTCCGCTGACGCTGCCGCAGCCGCAGCCGCAGCCGCAGCCGCGGCGGCGGCAGCGCTCGGCGGCGAGGCCACCGTGACGGCCGGCGTCGTGGCCGCGTTTACGCCGGGGCCGCCGCTGCCGCCGCCGCCGCCGCCGGTGGCGGGGCAAGGCAGCTACGGAGGTGGAAGTGGTGGGCGAGGTGGCAACGAGCAGCGCATACCCGAGTACGTGCCTCCGCAGAAGCAGGGCTCGCTCTCGAAGGCCACCCACCGGAGGTCTTCCAGCAGGGGCTCCGCCGTAGGGGGGTGCGGAGGAGAAGGGGGGGGAGGGTCCGGCGGCGCGGCGGTGACCCGGTCGGGGAGCGTCGGCCGGTCCGCCAGCCCCCCGGACTCGTCGCCGTTCTTTTCGGTTCGGACGCCGCCGAAGGTCACTGCCACCGGTGCCAGGCCTGCTTGCCGGCGGCGCCGGCGCTCGGTGTGGCGGGGGCATGACTACGGCAACGACGGCCTGGCGGCGCAGCCGCAGCCGCCCCCGCCGCCGCCACCCCCATCATCCTGGAACGAAGACCAGCTGGAGGGCGTCGTGATCTTCGGCGGTGGCGGAGGGGGGGGTGCGGAAGCGGGCTTCTTCGAGGCGGAGCCCCTCCCGCCGCCTCCACCCCCTGCGGTAGTAGAGAATGGCCTTCTTGCGGGAGGGTACGGGCGGCCCCCTGGTGCGGCCGGAGGGGCGCTGTTGTTGTCGCCGAAGCGCCGGGGGTCGGGGATGCCGATTTCTCCGGTGAGAGTCTGCAACGACGGCGATGCGAAAGAGTGAAGACTTTAAGGAGCCAAGCTGTTTGCTGCTCTTTTTTTTTTTTCCGGTACTTGTCGGGCACTTGCTTTGCGTTTTTTCGGGGTAAGAGCCACATCGCGGTGGTGTATTGCCCTCTCTCCCGCTTGAATCCTCGTGCCCTGGTGTGTCGCCCGGGTCTTGTCCGTCACACCCGTTGACTCTTCCCCTCCAGCCTTGCCGTTAGTTGCTTCGCTTTCGCGCCCGGTAAAGTACGCAGACTGACTGGTCTTCTTCAGGGACAAGAAGAGGTTTCTACGTGCGCACGTGGCGTTTTTCCCTTCCAGGGGGCGGGGGGGGGGGGGGGGGGGGGGGGGGAAGAAAAAAAAAAAAAAAGAGAGG